TTGCTTTTCAAGCGTGTGTTAATTCTCGGAGCAGGAAGCTCCCATGTTGAAACGAAAGAGATATTTCCTCTCTCTGTTGGAAAAAAAATTGATTTGTTTTTCCCTGCTGTAAAGAGTGTGGACAGAAGTGCAAAGCTTCCTGTTCAGCGTTCTCTGAATATAATCTAATACAAAGGCTTTTTTCCTTTCGCCCCCCCCCCCAGCCCACCACCCGCCTCCCCCACACTTTCTTTTGGGTTGAGATGGAAATGTAATAGATGTGATGATCTCTAAATAAACAATGCGGACAGTTGTCACCTTTCGCTTCAACCCGGAGGCCACTGTCGGGGTTGGAAGAGTAGCGAGTTGGCCAACAGCCTCGCTCATCTGGATGAATTCCTGGAATTACTGTAGCCTCTTCTGCTTATCAGGGGTGCACAGTCCACACGGGCGTGCCTTGTCACACTGAGAGCGTCCAGGTTCAGAGCGCAGCACCGCAGTTTGACGCTTTAAGGCCCATCTTGGAGGGATTATACCCATTTCCATCCCCACACCCCCACCTACCACCACCCCCCAACCCCCTCCCCCCACTTCCATTAAATTTCTGGATCTGTCGATTTCCGAAGCGGATGTGAGTAATGATCCAAACTGCATTACCTTGTGTTAATCTCTCTGTATTGTGCTCGTGAAGGGTTTCTTTTTGTAAGGTATCTGGCCGCGGATGTAATATTTTAGCCTTAAACTAATTGTGTGTCTTTTTGTTTCCGTTGGGATTGGCTGAGCAGCTGCTTTGTGGAGGTGAGGACTCGGTGTTGCAATATAAGCATATTGCTATGTGTTCCGATGTAGTTATGACAGAGAATAAAAAGTGTGAGCAGAAGGAGTGCTTGTGGGGAGAGACTGTTGGCACAGTAACTACCTCGTGGAAACCGTTAATGCTTCGTTTGGAAACTCACTCAGAATATGGTCGTGCATCAAACCTGCTTTGGAAATGGGATTCTACAGTTGTGCTAATTGTATTTAGCAAGCGAGGGGCTGAGGCACACAGAAACATTATATTCCTTGCATTTTGATGCAGTGCCTTATCACATCGTTGAGACGTCTCAAAGCGCTTCACAGAATATATTATAAAGTGGATTGATTGTGTATTTTGTGGGCACAATGTGGCAGGACCCTTGGAAAGCCTCGTTGACCACAACAGCTGATTCAGATGAGTTTTACCCAAATGGCTTAAGATGCTGTCCATTGACTACTTCAAATTTAATTCTGGTCCACCTCGCCAAGGGCAGCAATTAGCTGCTGCGTTTCACCCATAAAATACACAGTCAATTCACTTTGCAGAATATTCTGTGAAGAGCTTTGAGACGTCTTAAGAACTTGATAGGGTGCTCTATCAAATGCAAGTTGTTATTATTATTTGGGATGTTCCTATTGGCTTTGGTGCCTTGTTTTAGGCAGGAGAATGTCGGTTACTGGTTGTTTTATCCAGAGATCTCTGTTGGAAAATCCAGTGTAGTGTTTGGCGTGGACAGGTTGGGGTTTGCTAAGATGTTTCTCATGAATGAAATCCGTGCTGGGCCTAGCAGTGAGTCTGACGTGAATGCTGCACAGGTCAGGGAAGAGTTGAGTGTTTAAGTCATATAGGAATCCAGAAAGAGAACCTTTTCCACCTTCCCTAAGAATGCCATAAGCAAGTCTATGTCCTACTGCCTCCAGGCAGAGATCAATTCAGCACAGATCAGGCATGATTGCTGGGTTATTCTCTCTCTGGTCATAGTTGTGGCTATACTGATGGATTCTTTTACCGTCGAGGTCTCTGGAAAATCTCATGCTAATAAAAGTTTTGACCTTTGAGCAAATCCAACGAAACTACACTCTAAATTGGTTTCTAGTTACTCTCTGTTACGCACAGAGCTCTTTGTAGCTGATTTTGCTTTAGATATTGTCTACTCCAGGGCCATAAGTAATGTGCTGATTCAGACAGCATAGTCTTGAAGTGGTTTAGTGGGTACCGTGCATTTCTTTGTAACTTTGCTGAGTTAATGCCAATTACCTTCACTCCCATCTCTTTTGGTCTGTCTTCAACTTGGCACAAATCCCAACTCTCTTGAAACTTGGTAAAGTCATCGTATTATTGATTCTTTATCACTGTCCCTCCCCACCCAAATCACTGTCATTTTTCTATCTTATTATTATTTCAGTCTGTGCTGGAACGTGGCTGGGGATTGGAAGGAGAATAGAGGCTAGAACTGGGGAAAAGGGAGTTCTCTCTGGACCTGGAGAAGGGGATAAGGAAGTACACGTGTCGAGCTCTCCCTGGACTAGATATTGGGTGAAACTGCCTTCTCTTTTCAAATACTGCAGTGTTGTGGGATCTTCAATGTCCACCCAAACGTGCAGTTGGGACTTTGGTTTAACACTGGAGTGTCAGCTTAGGCTGAGTTCAGAGTCCTGACGTGGGGAGTTGCACCCACAACCTTCTGACTCGTCTGAGGCGATACTGAGCCAGCCTAGCGGATGGGGAGGGAAGTGATCTTTCACGTGTGTGTGTGTGTGTGTGTGTGTATGAGAGACTGTTCATTTTCTCAGAATTGTTCCTCACCTTTATCAGGTTGGATAGGTGTTGGCAAGATGCCACTAACTTTTTTTTACGACATTCTCAGTGTCTTGTTGCACGCTACCAACTTTAGCTTCACCCACTTCGATTGGAAAATCCAAGGGTCAGATTTGTTCTTCTCAAGTCAGAAATCTTTATAAGGAGATTGGAATCTGATTTTGCTTACTCAGGGTTGGGTAGAAAGGTTTCCTGGTGCTGAGCTGTGTTTCTAGTTGCACGATTTGCTGTTAAGTGCAGAGTCACCTGCTGAAACCTTGATGTTGATCAGCTCAAGGGCTTTGGCCTTTGGAATCTTGTAAATTTCATAAAAATTCCATGAATGCTTTGCAATCATAGCTCATTGATTGTTGCAATAAAATAGAATAAGAACATAAGGATTTGCTGGGCAAAAGAAGACCGACGTCCATCTCGTTTGCCTTCCAGCATCCTGGCAGTCGCTTGACATGTTGTGTCCCAAACTATATACTGTATCCCACTATATTATTTTCTAGCAGAAAAATCACACCTTATCATGTTGTTGAGAGAATTCTCAAAGATGCGTTTCACTATCCAATTCACTATTCAATCCACGACTGTTTGCGGGACGCTGCTGTGCGCAATTGGCTGCCGCGTTCTGCTCACAAAATATACAGTATGTTCTGTGAAATGCTATGAGACGTCTCGGAGACGTGATAAGGCGCTATATCAAATGCAAGGTTTATTATTATTATTATTATTCACAGAATATATTGTAAAGTATGTATTTTGTGGGGGAAATCCGGCCCCCAGATAGGCACAGAAAAAACTCGGGGTTTCATTTTGGCTCCTGCCGGCAGCAATCTTGCTCTGGGTCTGAAGGCTACGAGATCGAGTTCCACGGCAGGACTTGAGCAAATTTGTAGGGCAAATTTCCTACAGTTGAACGTGAACAAGACTGGGCCCTCCTGATTGGGTCGCGCCAGCGCCTCTGCACCTCAGGCTCTGGCCGCAGCAACCTCCATGGTTGCACACTACAACTCACCAGCCAGTCAGGAAGCTGGGCGTCTTGTTCGACCCTCAACTGTCTTTTCTTCCCCACATCCAAACCATGACCCGCTCTGCCTTCCCTCACCTCCATAACATGGCCCGACTCTGCCACTACCTCACCCCTCAGGCCGCTGAAACTCTTCTTCATGCATTCATCACCTCCAGGCTCGACTATGCAAACCCCCTGCTTGTCCCCCTTCCCAACTCCTCCCTCCACAGGCTGCAGATCATCCAGAACTCTGCAGCCCATTTCCTCTCCTGCAACAAACTCTGTGACCCCATTTCCCCCCCTCTCGCCCAACTCTATTGGCTCCCTAACCTTCAGAGGATCCAGTTCAAGATCCTGGTCCTCACCTACAAAGCCCTCCATGGCCTCGCCCCACCCTACCTTTGCGACCTCCTAACCCCCTACCAACCCACCCGTTCCCTCCGCTCAGCCGGCTCTGGCCTGCTCCATGTCCTCCGACCCACCCGCCCCACCATTGGTGGGAGAGCCTTCAGCCATTCTGCCCCAACTGCTGGAATTCCATCCCCCAGTCACTCCGCCTCGCCCCTTCTTAGCCTCCTTCAAGTCCCGCCTCAAAAGCCTCCTCTTCGACCATGCCATCGGCCACCCCGCTTCCCCTCCCCTCCCTTCTTCCCCCCCTCCCCGCCCGACCCCAACTCGGGTCTGTAATGTTGTACAATGTCCAGCGACTTGAGACAATTTCCTGATGTGAAAGGTGCAAATGTAATCTTGTTTTTGTTGTTGAACTCATAAGCTTGTGCTGGACTGGAGAGGTGTTGGAGGTACTATCATTGAGCGAGACTGAGACTAAGTTGTACCCAACTCCTCTATGGGCTAAGATGGAGCCAAGCCTCTCTGAGCACCAATGAGCCATTTAGACCAGGTGTTGGCATGTTTCAATGCCAGCTTGCACTGAGGTAGCTGATATTAGTGCTCGAACTCCTGTCCGAGCTAACAATGGCTTCTGTGCCAAGTGCATGGAGGAGGAGGTAAAATCAGTCATGTTTTAAGCTCCAAATTATCATCACCATCTGACCTGCTGGAGCCTGATCCACATTCACATGTGAATGTCCGATGAAGGAGGATTAGGCTCAATTGTGCAGTCGTACATTCATCCAATGTTTGGACAAAGCTTGTATTAAAAGGGAAGTTATTTGGAAACCCATGGAACGTGGCTGTCAGTCTGATTTAGTTTGGTAGCACTCTGGTCTCTGTGTCAGAAGGCTGTGGGTTTTAAGCCACCACGTCAGGTCTTGGAATTTGCATGGTCCAGGCTGACACTCCACTGCAGTGTTGTAAAGCCTTCTCCGCCTGAACCAGTACAACTCAAGAAGGACCAGAACGTTTCTGCCCCTTAATGTAACCCAAACTGTTTCTCTTTCTGCTCGACAGAAATTACAGGTTTCTGGGATCCCGGTAAAGGAATCTGAAGAGAAGGCAACGGGAATTGAGCAGCAACGCAGCAGCTCCGAAGAATCGTTACAGAGCGAGCGGCACTTGGAAGAGGAACTTCCAGGAACAGCAGAAGACGACAAGGCATCGGGGAAGGGGTGGCACAAGTCAGATTTTGGGTCTCTAGGGAAGGAGGTGCCCAGAATCCTGCGGAGACTGAAGATTGCCAAAAGGAAAAGAAGTTGCCCAAACTTCTGGAGGATGATCTTGTGTTCTGTGAAGAAGTACTGAAGGAAGAAACTGTGGCCTCTGAGACCCCAACATACACCCCAGCGCAAGTGGATCTGCTGCTCGAAGAGCCTTTGATACCAATGGAAAGAAGTAATGGAAGCTTGTACACCTCGCCTCCCAGGGTGATGGGGCAGAAGATTGGCCCCTATGATCTCATTGACTTGAGCCCATCGTGCATCAAGTCAGAGAATCCCAGAAATGAGTCGTTCGACAAACACAAGGTGACTTTGGTCAACGTTGATGGGGATGGACATCCTGCCCTTGAAAACAGCTTTGTGCTCGATACGAGTCCGGGCACGCTGATCGATCTGAGGCCGTCCGTCTCGGTCATGCCAATGTCTCCCATTAACAGCGGCGACGGTGAAGACGTCATCATCCAGGCAAAGAAAGTTGCCGTCGCACCAGATGAGCATTTGGGAACTTCGAGAGGTTTTTTCGCCACCAAGGCAGACGGCAGAGAAGTCTGGATCCCCTCGCCCGACCGAGACTCCAAGCTGGCCACGATCAGGAAAGAGAACAACCACGACCTGAGGGCTTACGAGCTGGAGAATAAACCAACGAAGCTCTTCACTGCCGACGAGGAAGAGAAATACCAGGTTAAAGGTGCTGCCAAAGTTCTGGAGAACGCAGAGTTGCTTGAACTGGATAGAAGAAAGCTCATTAAAAGCCAGGTCGTCAAGAGGAACTCGGCCATGGCGGACAGGTGGGGTTCAGTGGAACAGCTGGACTGGGAGGAAAAGCCAGCGCTCGTCAGGCTCGACGACTTCTTACAGAAGCCGGACCAGGACGTGAGGAGCAGCCCTTTGCCGTTCTCCGCCGAGCCGGCTGCGGCCGATGCTGAGAGGGTAGACACTGTGCAAATAAACTTTAACGTAGCTCGCCAGCAGTTCCTCAGGATGGAAAAGACCCACCAAAGCTCTCCTCCTCAGAGTCCCCGCCTGTTCTCTCCTTCTTATAGGGCTTCAACCAGTTCCTTCAGATTCTCTGAGGTGCCCAAGCCGCTTCCCAGCAAAGAGGACCAGAGGCTGGAGACCAGCCCAGGGAGTGTTGTAAAGGCTGTTAAAGTTAATTATAATCCCTCCGAAGTAAGGAAAGATCTCACTAAAGCCTCTGTGAGTGATAGGGCGTTCCCTGCGACTAGTCTGGAGAGCAATCACTCCAGAAAGCTGTCTCACACCCGTCCCAATCTGACCATGTCCTCTTCCATAGATGATCTGGATTCTGGGTTGGGCGAGATGTCTACTGACTGCGGTTTAGGGTACAGCAGTGATGGGGGAGCATCCAATGAGATATTGACCGCTGACGCCGATGTTTTTGAACCACCGGAGCAGAAGTCTGGGGAAACGCCGATTGAGAAGGAGATCCGCTTGATGATGGAAAGGGAAGAGAGCCTGCGTAGGGAGCGAGGGATTAAGTCTGTAAGCAGCGAGGAGATGGTGGAAATCAAGAGCAAACCTCTTCTGCGCCAACTCCCGCCCGTGTCCCCGTTCTCCAAGGGTAAAGACAAAAATCGCATGGTCTTCTTCGTTCAACGAGAAATCGAGAAGGAGTCCAAGAGGGAGGAGGACCTGAGGCAAGAGGGGAAGGTGAAGGGGATGTACGACAAAGGAACCCCGAAAGAGCTGGACGAACGCAAGAAGATCTTTGAGCAGCAAGTGGATGACGTGCCAGTGATGCCACAGAAGAGGCGATCGATGTTGGTCAGTTTCGCCTCGCAGGAGTCTCTCGATATGGATTTAATCCTGGAAGAGAGTCGTGGCTCAGCTAGCGAGAGTGGCCCAGTCCTGGCTAGCTCCACAGCAAACCTCAAAATGGTCATAAAAGAAAGCCCAGAGTATGGGTTGCACAGTACAAGGCCTTCTCAGTCTGAGGCCAGGAAACCAAACGAGGCCAACAAAGCAAACAACGCCTCCAGAGGAAACGACCCCAGAGGAAATAAGCAAGTGGAGACAATCTCTCGTGAGGTGGGCAGCGAGTCGCCCGGGGATCCATGCGCTGTGCGGCCCCTGAAGCACAGAACTGCGTTTTTAATCGATCGGGAAATCGAGGAAGAACAGCGTAGAGAGGAAGAACTTCAGACACTGAGGCAGAAATACCAGAGCGCCAAGAACTCCTTCACCAACAACCTTGACCATCACCCACTTCCTCCAAACCTATATGGTAAACGGCCTTGACAAGAACACGTTTGCACTCGTACATTACAGCGTCTTTCACGTCAGGGGGAATGTCTCAAAGCGCTTCACAGAATGGGCTGCGGGGTGGGGGGGTCTGGGCTGGGGGGGGGTCTGGGCTGGGGGGGGGGTCTGGGCTGGAGGGTCTGGGCTGGGCATTGGGGGAGCTGGGAAGGGAGAGGGAAAGGTGAGATAAAGAAAAGTCTTAAGGGCTGGCTTTTAAAGGTTTGGAGGGAGCAAGGCACAGTTCGGCACTAATGTTGACCTCCCGCATTCTGTAAACTGATTTCATCCATTGTTCAAAAGAGTTATTGTCTGTTGTTACTTTGACATTTAATCTTTCTTCAACGTTCTCGTCTTTCTCCACAGCATCAAAAAGTGCTTCCGTTTCATCAGAGTCTCACGTCCCTGAACTCCCAGCCTTGACCAGACAGACCTCACGACCTGGGGCTCCAGACAGCAAGCGAGGCACATGGGGGGATGAGGAACGGAGAGGGAAAGTTCAGGAGAAAAAAGAGGAAACTTCGGTAAGTGTTTTGGCTTTTTTTTGTTTGTTTGTTTGTTTGTGTTCTGCACCCAATCCAAGAGAAGGGACAAGGCTCCGCGAGGTAAGGATTTGAGTAGTATTTGCCGCTTGTGTTTTAATGTCTGCTGCTCCCTTCCAAAGACATTCTGGAGGTGGCGCATTTTGCCTTAAGATGTGTGGTCAACCTTGTAAAGCCATAACCAGAGCGGCGTTCAACACGTTGCACAGCTTCTAATGAGGTTTCTTTTAAACTTTCCCAGTACGCTGGTATTGAACTTTCTGATGACGTGAACACTGAGGTACCTGGCCTTCCTTTGGCATGCTTGCCTATCGTAACAGCTGCTGTGCATCCTCGACCTGCTTCGTGCATGGTTCTCACTAACCACCTGGCTGCCCGGAGTCCCGAGCCGGGAATGAACCTTGTCCCGCACGCGCACCCCGATTGACTCTGTTGTGAACGGTTGTGAAATGCAATCTCGCTTTCAAAACCGTTCTGTGTTGAATCCAAAGCAAGAGGTTTTCCCCTCTGGAAATGTAACCTCTTTCTCTCTCTCTCTCTCTATCTCCCCGTGTACAGACAGAGCACGCAGTGGGGTGGGGGGTGTTGCAGTGTCAGGGGTTCCGTCCTTCGGATGAGACGTTAAACCAAGGTCCCATCTGCCTGCGCGGGTGGCTGTTAAAGAAACCCATGATATTATTCGGAAAGGGAAGGGAGTTTCTCTTAAAATGTGTTGTTCCCCCCACCCACCCCTGCTGCCTGTTAACTTATTAACACAAACTATTATTAACTTTAATATTAATACTTAATATTAGTATAATATATAATAATATTTATATATAATATTTATATATAATAGTCATATATAATGAGAGTTATATATACTATAAAATAATAGTTATATATGGTTAATAATATTATTATTATTATCATTAACTGTTAGCTTATTAACACTAAGTTGCATTAACGACCAGACCCAGTGTTGCTGGGAGACTGACCTCCGGTTGCTCAGCTTTTACTAACCTGCTTTCGTTTTGAAACCACTGACAATAAATTGCCGGCGCGTTCAGAGAGAGCCTGGCCATCAAACCCGCTAACCAGTGAGAGACCGGCTTGACATCCACCTCCCATGAAAAGTTATCGAGCCATCGGATCCTGACTCTCTCTCTCCTCTCTCTCTCTCTCTCTCTCTCTCTCTATTCCTGTAGGTGGTCGAGTCTACCAGAGTAGCGCGACGAAAGAACGACATGGCGTTGCGTTGGGAAGCCGGCCTGTACTCCAACAATGAAGAGTGAAGCCGCCTCGTGCCTCTTCCTATTTAAAGCACAGATAGATGTATATTGGCCTTCGGAAAAGCACTGCCCTTGTGAATAGAATTGAACAGTTTCTTGCAGTTTTGTTAACTGATTAAGAGATTATAATATATGCAGTATAAATATATATATATATGTGTGTGTGTGCGCGCGTGCGCGAGAGTTTGTACATCTCTGTTTATTTACTTCTGACCTGGGAATGTTTTGGCGCTCCATAGTCTCTGAATGCTGCGTATTACTTTAGGGAGAATGATTCTCCCACCCTGCTTCCCCACCCACACACACGGATGAAGGAAACGAATGTCAGTTCCTTCGCCCGGGGCTTCTTCCTGTAAAGATTTCATGAGAGATTTCTGGTGGTAAATTGAAGTGCGTTGTTATTGCCGGGATTAAAAAAAAAGCCTACCTTTTTTGGCGAGCTTTTATTTCGAAGCGAATGTTTTGAATCTCGTTCTGAATTATCTTGAATTGGCTTTTTTTTCTCTTTTTTTTTCTCTCTCTCTCGAGTAAGCGATCTCTTGCTTGTGTGCCATGATGCATTATATTTAATAATCAATGAATAAATAAAGTGGTGTCTGGCATTTGATGGAACAACACTGACTTGTACCATTAATTTGTGTGTGTGTATTATTTATACATATATTGATTAATATGGGGAGCTGAGTCCTGTAGCGTAGTGTTTAAAGCGCTAGTTTCGCAAGTAAGAGGACCCGGGTTCGATTCCCAGACAGGATGAAACGTTAGGCAAATTTCCTTACTCCACACGCCTCTGTTTACCTCGCAGTAAGTAGGAACCCATTTGTTAGTCAATTGGCGGATCGCTTTCCCTGCGTAACAATAATCCCATCAAAACAAATTTGGTCACTTAATCCAGGACCGTGCGGGGACACGGCTGTGTGCAAAGTGGTTGCCACGTTTCGCCCACAAAACACGCAGTCAACTTCGCTTTACAATATATTCTGCGGTGCGCTTTGAGACGTCTCAACGACGTGATAAGGCGCTGTATCAAATGCAAGGATTATTATTAATATGTGTGTGTTTGTGTACGTGCACAGAAGTATCTGAGTGTGGGTTTCTATTGATGGCTGACTAGCTGTTGGTGTCTGACTGTGTATAAGTTTCTGCTGCCCTCTGCTGATCCCCGGGCGCTGTAGCTGCTCTTGCATTTCGCGTTCAAATGTCTCGTTGCAACCACTTCTGCTGCTACTGTCTTTGCATAGGGCGGAGGAGCTCAGGCCAGGATGTAATGCTCGAATTGCCCACGAGGTGTCGCAGTAATCAGCCTCCGCGCTGGGAGGATCAGCACCACGTCAGACACCAACAACAATTTGCATTTACGTAGCAAACACTGAGAAGCAGGGAGGAGTGCCCAGGTGTCCGCAGGGGAGCGGGGGTAACTGTCCGGCCAGCTTTCCCGCTGCTTGTCCAGCTAGGAACACCCGACCCGCTGGGGCTGGGGCTTGTAGGGTTAACAGGAGCTGAGTGGGAAGACTCCCTGCCCCCAGTGACTGGTCTGCCCTTCCAGGTCCTGCCCATGAACCAGGCTGAGCTGTGCTGCCATCAGCAATGAGTGCCCTGGAATACTGCGGACCCGCCCGGCTCAGGAAACCGGACTAATATTTGTTGGTATCGAGGGCGGGTAATTGAACTTGATGTACAGATCATCCATTGACAGTATAGAATGGAGGGACAGTCTCGCGGGGCTGAATGGAACTACTCCTGATTCTACATTTCTACCAAAACCACCACAGAGGGCTGACTCGATTCTGACATCTCTAACCCCCCCCACCACCCACCCAAGGAGAGTAACAAGTGGATAAATGGGCAGAGGATAAGCTCTGGGCGTGTTGTAGCACAACCTCCTGGCAGCAGGTCAAAATAATAATAATCCTTGCATTTGATAAAATATTATTCACTATTTTAAAAAAAAAGTATTCACTGTAAACCCTCCAAGATGTGCTGTATAAATTGAAGTATTGTAATTGTAGTGGCAGAGAGAGCCCACACTTTGGAGTCAGGAAAGAGCCAAGGACGCAAACAGGATAGCTGACGGACGTGGATAGACACTGGTCGGAGATCCAATAAGTCCTTAAAACCTCGAAGCCAATCGGTGGTGGCCAGTGGATCCTGGTGAGGATAGAGTTACAAATACACAGTCACTACATATTGCATTACATGAAATGTTGCGAAGCGCTTTCAGATGTCCTCCTGACATGAAAGGCGCCGTATCAGATGCAACAGTCATCATCAACGACGACTGGTATTTATATTAAAAAAATTAGAACCGGTCATTGACTTCATGGCTGTTTGTGGGCGTTGCCGGGTGTAAATTGGTTGATGAATTTTGCCCACAAAACACACGGTCACTGCACTTTACAGCAAATCCAGTGAAATGTCTTCCTGCCATGCAAGACACTATGTCAAAGGTGAGGATGGCTACTTATTAGAATGCCCTTCATGCAGTGTATCAGAAGTGCTGATAATATTAATATTAATACCCCTTTGGGCACTCGAAGGATGTCAAGGCCATGGAGAGGGTAGAGAGGAGAATCTCTAGGATGATGCCAGGGAGAAAGGAAATTGATTTTGAGCAGAGACTAACTAAGGTAGGTTTGTTTTCATTAAAACAGAGAACATTAGACCTTAACCCCCTCCCGCTCCCCCCACCTCAAAGCTAAACGTGGTCAAAATTATTCTAAGAGGAAGAAAAATAAGTGGAAGTGATTTCCAACGGTTGATGAGTCAGTCACCAGAGGGCATTCATTTAAGATCGTTATCAAGGAAAACAGCAGGAGAGGTTCAGAGAATTTTCTTACTCACACGGAAGGGTTATTACGACATGGATTGCTCGGGGCTAAAAGTGTTGTTGAACCAGACTTCGCAGTAACTTTTTGAAACGGGGGAAATAGAGAAATATTTGAAAAGGGAAAATCATGAAAGAGTTTGGGAAAAATTCAAGGGTACAATAATCGTAATGCTTGCATTTAGTATAGCGCCTTATCACGTCGTTGAGACGTCTCAAAGGGCTTCACGGAATATAATAAACTCGAGTAAACTGGATTGATTGATTCTGTATTTTGGGGGCGAAACCCGGCAGCAATGTCCCACAAACAGTTGTGGATTGGAGGGGTTATTACCCCTGGAAAGCGATCCGCCGATCAGCTAACGGCCGGGTTCATATGTTGAGACGCCTCGAAACACTTCACAAAGCAATTGGCTGCCGTGTTTCGCCTACGAAATTTGCAGTCAATTCACTTTACGGTATATCCTGTGAGGCGCTTTGAGACGTCTCAACAATGCGATACGATGCTACATCAAATGGAATGACGATGATGATTATCATTTACAGAATATGCTGTAGAGAAACTTGACTGTATATTCTGTGGGTGAAACGTGCATCTGAAACTTTGTCAGACGACCAGCACGCAGCAGGCAAGCTGAGCTGAATGACTGATTTCTGTGCTACAAAATCCTTTCACTATGATTCTGTCTCAGCTGCTCAGCTCCTGCAGAACGAGATCCTCTTTATTCCCCACCCGAGTCTCTGTCTTCAAGTGAAACTTTGCAATAACTTTTGTGAAGCAGAAACCAACACTGAGTCCCTCTCTGGATGGAAACCCTTTAGCTCATAATAAACCCACATCCAGATTAGGAATAAACGAGCTCTGAGGCTAGTTATAAACCGAACACTGAGCTTAGTAATAAGCTATTATTGACGTTAATAATAAACCATAGTGGAGTCCTGCAGCTTAGTGGTTGGACTTGCAAGTGAAAGGATCTAGGTTCAATTCCTGAGCAGGGCGAAATGTTAGGCAAGTTTCCTTACTCCACAAACCTCTGTTTACTTAGCACTAAATCGGAATCCGGTTGTTAGCCGATTGGCGGATTGTTTTCCAGGGATAATCATCCCTTCCCCCCACCCCCCACCAAAAAAAATAATATTTTGGTCACTTCAATTCACGACTGTTGTGTGGGACACTGCTGCGTGGCTGCCAGTCAATGCACTTTCCAGTATATTCTGTGAAGGGTTTTGAGACGTCTCGAAGACGTGATAAGGCGCTGAATCAAATGCAAGGATTGTTATTATTATAATAAACTAGTACTAAGGTTAGTAATAAACTCTAAAACTGAGATTAGTAATAAACTAGTACTAAGGTTACTAATAAACTATAAGATTGAGGTTAGCAGTGCAGTGAGGAGAGGTAATTGCTTAATTGAGAACATTCATCTGAAATTGAAGTAATCCTTAAAGTGATCCTTGTGTAAATTTAGACAAAGTTCACCCAGTATTAAGCAATCCCAAGCTTTTTCCCCAGAAACTCAGTGGATGAGTAACACTAACATTGGTTCAATGGGTAAAATGGTCTTTTCCTGTGCTGTCATGTCTCTGACTGTGTGATGAGCTATAAAACCGCTCGCAGTAATGAACTAGGATTCATTCAGTGGGAAATGCCAACACAAACAACCTGATCTGAACTCACAGAGCTTCAATTCGACCACAAACTATACAGTCAATTCACTTCACAGTATATTCTGTGAAGCGCTTTGAGATGTCTAGAAGGCAAGGATTATTAGTATTATTATTAGTCAATTGATGCTCCTATATAGCGCCTTATCACATTGGAACGTCTCAAAGCGCTTCACAGGATTTATCGTGGAGTATAGTGACTATGTATTTGCGAGCAAACTTGGCAGCTCATTTGCGCACAGCAATGTCCCACAAACAGCCATGAAATGAAACGTCATTTTTTTGTTTGGTGGGGGATTGTTGGCCAGGAAACCGGGAGAGACTCCCTTCTTTAGCAGGCAGGCGGGAACGCCACTTAACATCTCATCAGAAGGTCGGCGCCTGCGACATTGCTGCGCACTCCCCCATCACTGCATTAGAGTGAGGGCTTGATGTGGGGCTCGATCTGGGGGATTGTGGGCCAGGACCCCGGGAGAGACTTCCGTCCTCTCTTGGGACAGCGCCTCGGGACCTTTAACGGCCGCCTGAACAGGCAGACGGGACCTCGGTGTGTAAGGGTGCATGCACGGTGTGGTGTGTCCTGTCCTAAGAAACAGTCGTGATCTTAAAGAGTTGTTGAGCGGAGAAAGTTAATCATTAGCAGTGATATAGTTTGAAAATATAACGCGTTCCTTTACACCAGTGCCATGGAAGTTGAAATACCTCCAGATAACCCTCGAGCCATGCCGTTTGTCTGATGCAAGTTTCTTCAACCTAACCTCAAAGTTTCATACCAGAGTAGTTCCTCATTCATGAAACTTAATACGGCTGCCTCAGGGGCAGCGTTGAGGAGTTTCCTGTGTTTACTCGGGGGACTTAAAGAGAGTGGGCTGCGGAGGTGGGAAGCTTTAAAAAGGTTGGGCTTCAGTGTGTGATCAGCAGGTGTCTAGCACAAAATCCCGAGTGTGTGTGTGTGTGTGTGTGTGTGTGTGCGCGCGCGAGTGAGACAGTATATATAGCTGAGATTCAGCACAGAATCGCGAGTGTGTGTGTGAATATACAGTAATATCTGGGCTCCAGTTCAGAACTCTGTGTGTGTGGCTTTGGTTGAGTTTCAGCTCAGAGTCTGCTTTCCGTCAGTGTACAGTAGAGCTCCAGCTGCTCTGCCCTGTATAATCGAGGGGATCGGACTAAGCCAAACCAGTCCAGCCTGCTGTGACATGGAGACCTTGCTGTCCTGCGTGGAACCTGTGGTGGTGGTCACCAATGTGGCCAACTCTCTGTTTGACACGGCGATGCTGATGGTGGTGTACGGTCGTCTGAACGAGACCTCGCATGGCAACAGTGATGAGACCCAGAAGGAAGCGGCCAGGTTCTACATGATCTACAACATGATCTACTCTCTGGCCCCCTTGTTGTCCACGGTGCCCTTGGGTAAGTTGGCCGACCGGCGAGGTCAGAAGATCCTGGTGGTGGTGCCGTTGGTCGGGTATCTCCTGGGTAGGAGCTTGCTCCTCTTCACCGAAGTCTTTCAGCTCCCGGTCAGCGTGATGTACGGCTCTGCCATCATCAACGGATTGACGGGAGGATTCCCGGCCTACTGGAGCGGAATCAACGCCATCGCTGCTCTCAGGTCGGGGACGGAGAAGCGCAGCCTGAGGCTGAACATGCTGTCGGTCACGTCCGGGATGGCCGGGCTGCTGGGCAGCATCGTGTCCGGGCATTTCTTCCTCCTGAAGGTGCAAAACCAAGACGGGCTCCTGCTGATCATCATCTGCCTGTCCCTCTACACGATCAGCCTGCTGTACTCCGCCACCATCCTCAGATACCCAGCCGTGCCGCCCACCAGCCCGGCTCCCGCAGAGAGGCCAATGACCGGCCGCAGCAAATACAGCACCGAGGTCATCCTCCTCTTCATCTGCTACATCCTGTATGACTTCAGCGTGACCGGTGGCGCCAATGTCGTCTCGCTCTTCGTCCTGAAACCTCCTCTGAGCTGGGACTCTGTGTGGGTGGGCTACGGCAAGGCAGCGTCCTACGTGCTGTTCCTGACCAGCTTCCTGGGGGTGCTGATCTTCTCCCGGTGGATGAGTGACACCTCGCTGGTGCTGATGGGCATCATTTCGAACACCATCGGGTTCACCACGATGGCTTTCGTGACGCGGACCCCATTATACTTTGTTGGTGAGTAGCTTTTACCCGTTTCGCCCCCCCCCCCGCCCCCACCACCCCCAAAATACACAGTCCATTCACTTTACGGTAGATTCTGTGAAGCGCTTTGAGAACGCCTTTCTGCTGTACAGCAGCCATGTTGCTCTGAAATTGGAAGCTGTGTCGTGTGGGTGAACAGTGTTGGTTTGGTGGTGGAGCATAGGAGAGGGGAACAAGACCTCAATGAGGGACAATGTGGTCTGCGCTCTGGGATACCACCCTGTGTGAGAGGCGCTATGTAAGTGCAAGTTATAATAATAATAATAATAATAATAATCCTTGCATTTGATATAGCGCTTTTCACGTCGGGAGGACGTCCCAAAGCGCTTCACAGAACACACTGTAAAGTGAATTGACTGTATATTTGTGGGCGAACGCGGCAGCCAATTGCGCACAGCAGTGTCCCACAAACAGTCGTAGTTGTTGTTGCTGTTGAAATGGGAGCTGGGATATGGCTCTGTAAATTTCTGCAGGCTGGTAAACATCAGCAGTGTCTCAAACAGTCAATGACTGAACTTGCTCTGGCTCTGTTCCTCCAACAACGTTTATCTAATTGCCCAGCATTGTAATTATCAACTCATCCTTTCAGTCAGTCAGTCAATGCAGGCAGTGGAAGGAAGGGCTGTTCCCATGGTTATCTTTTCTAAAGAAAACCCTGTGGATTGATGTCACAATATTCTGTTGTTGCCATCACTGCAGTTTAATAAAAAAAAAACCCAAGACAATTACCAGATCCCAATTTCGACCTGAACCCCAGCTTGGTTCATCCACGCAACATCCTGTCCTCTGGGTCAGAAGATTGTGCCTTCAAGACAAGACCTGCATTAGGACCTGTGCTCGCAGTCCGACCGCAATAACAACAACAACTTGCATTCACACAGTGCCGGTCACACAGGGCAGCGTCCCAGAGCCGCTTGACAGTGGCGGAGCGTATCGCCGAGCCGGGGGGGAAGGGGGAGGTGACCCTAGGCGCGGTCGAAGAGGAAGAATCTTTTACATTCTGGGTCAGAAGTTCGTGCCATTGAAGATGAAAGATTTGATCTGAAAGGAGAAGGGAGTTTATCCCGGTCGGTGTCTCTCCGCCAAACGATTCTCCCGATAAACCCGCTCAGTCACTTCACGGCCTCTCGTGGGATATCGCTGAGCGCAAACTTGGCTGTCGTGTTTGTCTACAAAACTACTCAATACATGCCGCAGTCGTTGTAGGGCTTTGACGAGTTCCTCTGTGATAAAGTGCTTCAAAAAATACAAGATCTTGTTTTCAGCTCCTCCGATGCTGTTGTTGTTGATATTGCAGGGACTGACGTCACTGCTTCCTGCTCGGAAATTCCATGCTCTTCCCCTTGGACTCTAATCGTACACCCCCACGTCCGCTCTTCACCCCTCCCCCCCCCCCCCCACCCTCACTCCTCACAGATTGTACTCCTCAACTGAGCCAGGCTGGATTCACAATAGTGTGTCATGGATGGTTCTTGAATAGTGTCATGGGATGTTTAACACCCACCAGGTATTCAGGACCTAGTTTTCGTCTCATCTGAAGATTGACACTTCTCACAATCCTGTACCGAACTGGAGCTTCACCCTACACTGTGGGCTCACAACAGTGATAGCGACAGAGCCAAACTGACACCCCCCTTATTACACCTCAATGTAATCATTTAATAATAATAGTAACTTTGCCCACAAAATACACAGTCAATTCACTTTACAGTATATCCCGTGAAGAGCTTTGAGACGTCTCAACAATGTGATAAGGCACTGAATCAAATGCAAGGATTATTATTAATATTATTATGGATATGAATGTGACCGCACAGAAGGAGCCAGTGACATTACAATCATGGTCTGTTCCTTATTTGTTAACTGTTTTCTCCTCTTACTCGGCCTCTCTTGTAGTTGACAGCTTGCACGAGGCTTCACTGTCGTTTCACAAGTGCTGACAGTTCCATTAACTCACACAAGTGACAGATCTTCAATGGAGAGCCGGAACAGTGCCCACTTATGCCCTATCTCCCCGCACCCCCACCCCACCATCTTTATCTAAGCCTTCTTCACCTCGAGATTAGCCTTCTCCATTTCTCACCTCGCTGGCCTCACCAGCTCCACCCTTCCCTGAGCTACAACCCATCCAACAGTTTGCAACACATAAAACAAGAGGCAAAATGCTGCCGCTGCTGGGATTCTGAAGTAAAAACAGAAGTCGCTGGGAACACTCAGCAGGTCCAGGCAGCATCTACGGAGAGAGGAAAGCGAGTTAATGTTTCAGGCCGATGACCTTTCGTCAGAACATGCTGAGCGTTCCCAGCGACTTCTATTTTTAGTTTGCAACTCTCGTATTGTCTCCCACACCAGGCTCCGTGCACCCATCACCCCCATCCTCACCAGTCTCCGTTGGCTCCCAGTAGCACAGTGTATGAAATCCCAGATGCTGGAGTTAAATGCCTTTGATCTTGCTCTGGCTTCTCTCTCTCTCTCTCTCTCTCTCTCTCGCTCTGTGTGTGGTTTCCTCCTGCCCGTGTCACCCTGCCCGGCTGATGCTGTGAATCTTTCTTTTCGCAGCTCGCTCTTTGATGATGTTCTCGTGCATTCCGCTGCCCACCATCAGAGCTCAGCTGTCTAAGGAAATGGACAAAGGGAGCTACGGTAAGTGTACTCTAAGGGTACAGCGCAGTGTTTCCGTAGTGGGTCTCAGAAACCTTTCACCTCTCAGGAGAAGCGATGGTGCCCACGCTGACTCACACTTAGGTTTGCCCTGAGGCCTGGGCTAGACAGCTCACAAGAGTTTCGATGGAGTCTCATTTAAGGTGTTTCTTAAAAGGATTCCTTAATAGGGAACTTGCTGCACACAAATGGGGAACTTCACACAAGACCACAAGATTGGTTAGGATGAAGAAGGTCCTTTGGTCCATTGATTTGATCTTTGTAGAACGCAACAACAACCACAAATTACATTTGAATAGTTTCATGTCGGGAGAACGGGATTGCAACGGCCTTGCGCAGCCTGGCTCAGTCGTAGCCCTCTCGCCCCTGAGGTTTGTCATAAGTTTGCGGGTTTGAAGCCCCACGTGAGCTGACAGTACAGTTGCTCAACCTCCCCCCACACACTCATCTGACTCATATATTCTTCGAGTACAGGAATCCCTTCCCCTCCTAATGCACTGGACAGTCAGGGATTTGGACCGAGCTGGGTGTTGGGATCAGGAGCGGTAGAGGGCGGGGAGGGCAGTAGGGAGATCCCATTAGAATCTACCTCCGGAGCAGAGTTTCTGTGGCTTGACGGGAATTGTAATCCCAGACTCTCCGTTAACTAAAAGCATCTCAGGCTCTCAGTCTCAGTGCCAGAGCCATTGTCGCCTTTGGGCGTCCATCCGACATGAAAGGAGCCCTATAAATGTAATTTGTTGTTGTTTGGGTGTGCTGACTCTTTCTGCTTCACGGGCTGTGTCTGACTCTGTCACCTTTGCTCTCAGGATCGATCTTTGCCTGGCTCCAGTCAATTATGGCTCTGACAGATGTGATTGCCACCGTCGTGTTCAACAATATCTACCCCGCCACACTGGAGTGGTACAGTGGTTTCTCCCTGCTCCTGGCTGCAGCTATTTCCCTGATCAGCCTCACGCCTATCGTGTGAGTATACGATATCACTGCTCTATCTCTGCCGTCAGATACACACTGATCCCTCTACACCACACACTACTATAGCACGACTTGCCTCAATGCTCCGTCACTGTGTGCCACCTGCTCCAGCACCTTTTTACACTAAGGTTCTTGAGGGCTCGGGGTTCCCAAAACCTGGATTGAAACGGCCTTGCGCAGCCTGGCTTAGTCGTAGCCCCCTCGTCCCCGAGGTTTGTCATAAGTTTGCGGGTTTGAAGCCCCACGTGAGCTCACAGTACAGTTACTCAACCTCCCCCCACACACTCATGTACACTCTGATATATCCCTCGAGTACAGGAATCCCTTTCCCTCCCAAAAAGCCTAGTACAGGGTGACCAAAAAGTCACGATGCTACTCTTATTATCAAACCCTATGTAATATATATATATATCATCATTTCTTTAAGATTTATTAGACATTATAATGGTATCATAACTTTTTGGACACCCTGTAATTTCCGGAATTAGAATAGTGTGAGAGAGAGAGCGCATTCCATTCCAACGATCTCTCTCTCTGGGATTTCCATGTGTAGGGGGGACGCACGGAATTCTCAGTTGGGTTTGTAGACTCTTCAGCAACGGTGATGGGTTTCCGCATGTGTCAGACACCCGGTTGGCCAAATAACACTGGGCTGCTCACAGACCCTGTGGTGTACGAAAGGGAAATTGCACTGACTCGCAATCAAATCTGTCATTACGTCGGTTTGTTTTTCAGGGTTTATAGCTGCAAGCAAAGCCGGGAAAGTTACAACGAGGTTCCTGGCTTGGATTCAGCCCAGACTCTGGGAACTGTGGAATGTCCCGAGAGGCCAGTCAAGCTCTAAACTGTGCAAACTGACAATTGTTGACAGTACTGAGGGGGGTGGGGGGGGGGGGAGGGAAGGGAAGGGAGGGAGCGAAGCGTCAAGTTTCTGCAACCGTGTTGTTAGTGCCATCAACAGAAAGAACGATAAGGGAACTAGAGGCTAAAGTTCAAGGGAGGAATGTTCCAAGACAAACAATCGGAACCATCACCAATTCTCACACCGTCGTTGTCAGGAAGCGATTGCAGCCGATCTCAGAGGGAGAGACGGTACGACTCTCTGGGGCGGACGAAATGCCACCGGGACGTAAAGGTGGATAGAATCCTGGGCGCTCACAGCACTGAGAACTACAACAACAACAAGCCCACTGAGCCCACTGAACTCCTCGCTCACGCCTGAGAGACGTCACAGAGTGTAACAGCTTGGAACGCTGTACAGAGACAGTGCTGGACACTGGTCATGGAGGCTTAATTAATGGTTGAAAAGGTAGTTTTTTTTTAGGCCGTTTATAAAGATAGATAGAGAAGGTGGGGGGGGGGGGGAGACATAGCCCCTTATCACGTCGTCGAGTCGTCTCAAAGCGCTTCACAGAACATACTGTAAAGTGAATTGACTGTATATTTTGTGGGTGAAATGTGTTCCGTGAAGCGCTTTGAGTCGTCTGGACGACGTGATAAGGCTCTGTATCAAATACAAAGATTATTATTATAATAAGGCTCAGACGCTGATGGTGTTAGGGTGGGAGTGGGGGACAGAGTTAAGAGACACATTGGAGGTCTGAGCTGGGGGGGGGGGGGGGGGAAGCAGGAGACTGGAGCTCGAGCAGATGTCATCACACTGGAGCCGACAACATGCCTCTCAATAGGCTAGGATCTGCCTCCCTCTCGGTCCCACCATAAATCCCCACTGCCTGTAATTTGCGAGACTGACAGGTCAGAGTTTACATCGCAGGTCGCTGTTTAAACTGCGTGCAAGCTGTTTTGAAATAAATATTTACGTGAGCATCTCCGTCACTTGAGTTTCCTGTGGTTTGTTTTCTCTCTTCTCCTCCTCGGTCTTGGAGGCTTTTTCCTTTCCAACCATTCATAGGGTTTAATGCAATTTAATATCTCTGCATAGACAGTGGAGCAAAGCTTTACAGCCAACTACGCTCTGAAGAGCCAGACCCCTGGGGGGAGAGCTTGTGTTTTCTCATCTGCGAAACAGACCCCCTTTAAAGAAGCCGATCTTATCATCATCATCAAAGAAATGGTAACATGATCTGCCAGAGGAAGCCTTTCAGAACAAGCACAGACTCAGGAATAGTTATTTCCTGGTATTAAAGGGAGTGAAGTGGCCTCTGGAGTTGAAGGATAACACGTCAAACCCTTCACGGCAGATTTCACCCCTCTCTGAAATTCTACCCGTAGCATCATTTCGGGTTTAAAATTCAAGAACTGTGCAGAACCACGGCAAATTGGTGGATTTCACCCCAAACCGTACCCTGTTTACCCAGCAGTAAGTAGGAGCCCGGTTGTTAGTCGATTGGCAGATCGCTTTTCTGGGGGTAATAATCCCTTCCAAAAAATGTTTTCATTTAAAAAATGGTCACTCAATCCACGACTGTTTGTGGGACGTTGCCGTGCGCAATTGGCTGTCGCGTTTCGCCCACAAAATATACAGCCAATTCACTTCACGGTGTATCCTGTGAAGCGCTTTGAGACGTCTCGAAGACGGGATGAGGTGCTATATCAAATGCAAGGATTATTATTATTATTGCCTGTGTTTAGCGACTCTGATCCCGAATGAAAAGTGGGAGTTCTTGTTGCTCAACTATTAGGTGGGACAGAGTTTCCCACGATGAAAATTGCTCAATGGAGTGCGATATTGCACAACTGCCAGGAACCTGTGGGAACACACCTCAGTGAGAGTCACGCCCGAAGAGTGAAAAAAAATCAGACGTTTAACTGGAAAACACAAACTCAGAAGCAGGTGAACGTGTCAGAGCAAAAACCTTCCATTGTAATAAATAATGCGGCGGCTTGGCTCAATAATAATAAATAATAATAATCCTCACATTTGGTATAGAGCCTTATCATGTCTTTGAGATGTCTCAAAGTGCTTCGCGGGAATATACTATCAAGTGAATTGACCGTATGTTTGGTGGGCGAAACGCGGCAGCCAATTGCGCACAGCAGCGTCCCACAGGCCGTCGTGGATTGAATGATCACATTATTATTGTTAACAACAATCAATGAACAATTCTGCCTCGCCCCTGAGTCAGACCCCCACATCGAGACTTGGAACATATATAGTCTACGCTGTCGCTCCAGTGCATTAGTGGGGGTGTACTGTGTTGTTCCAGACGTCAGCACAATGTTCCTAAGACCGAGAACGTGAGATATTTCAGGTCCCCGGATTCTTGGTTGTTGCGCTGAGCTTGCAATCTGTCTCTTTAAGGGGGAAATGCAGTGTAACCGGTGATAAATAAAACACCACATGCCACTACTCCCACCCCTCCCCCCACCCCACCCCCCTACCCCCACCCCACAGTCCATATGTTCTCAGCTTGGGCTTGTTTGCCTTAAAAGATATTATACTCAGCCTGAATTTCCAGATGTTTGGAGTGAAACAGGATCCACAGGTTCCCCCGGCCACCCCTACACCACCAACCCCCTTCCCCCACCCCTCCCACACACACACACAGCCAGACCCCCATTTGCTAATAAGCAAATTCAGATGGAGCAACAACAGACACTTTTGAGAGAGACAAAAAGCTATTTGTTTTGGGCAGCGTTCCAGGTCCACAAAGCAATATGGCAGCTGTAATGTCAATAAGTATCCTTGCATTTAATACAGCGCCTGGTCATGACGTCTTAAAGTTAATTGCAAAGTGCAGTGGCTGTGTACTCCGTAGGGCTCGCCCGGCAGGCATTTTGCGCACAGCAATGTCCCACGCACGGCCATGAAGTGAACGCTCATTTTATTCCTCTCTGCAGTACTGCTGACCAGGACACCGGGAGAAGCTCCCTTCTCTTTTCGGATAGCGACATAGGATTTGTGACATCCCACCCGAACAAGCAGACTCGACCTTGGGTTTGATGTCTCGTCCAAAGGACGGCACAGTGTGACGAGGTGGAGCATTACCTTAGACTGGGAGCTCAAGGCCCCCAACGTTGGGGCTTGAACCCATAAACGTCAGAGGCGAGAGCGCTACCGACTGAGCCAGACTGAATCACAATTCCTCTCTAACAGCTACCCCCCGCCAACCCCCGCCTCCACCCCCCCCGCGCACACACCCACATTCATCAACGCAGGAAACGTCTACCCTTCAATTATGTGGTAACTTTGCCCGGAATATTATGCGCTTGAGTGCGGTCGATGTGTTTTTGTTCTGGAAGTTTCTTTTGTTGTCATCAGCTCCTTTATCTCGTGGCTACCAGAGGGAGAGGGGAGGTGGGGGCGGGGAGGGGAGAGGGAGAGGAAATGAGAATTGGGCAGGAAGCTTAAGCTGCTATTTCCAAATATCCTCGCAGCGCAAGGAATGTTCTGGAATGCCACGAGATCTGATTAATGCTGTCCTGGGGCCACAATGAACGAAGCTTGAAACCACCCCCCCCCACCCCCCACCACACACACACACACACACACACACACACGCACGCACCTCCCCCCTCGACCCTGTGATGAGCAAACAGAAAACTGCCAATGCAGAGATGAAGGAGAGTGGGGGGTGGGAGCGGGAGTGGGGGAGGAATCAGGGAGGGACCCTGAAAGCTCCCAGTGGAGCAACTGCGGAGTGAGTCAGTGTGGGAAGGGATTATGTTACCCATTTTTTTTTCTCTCTCCTGCCCTGAACTCTCAGCCCAGTGAGCTTCCCGTCAGTACAGGCTCTGCCAAGGTTTACAGGAAACCACGGCACCAAACCTGGCAGGAGGGCAGTGCCTTCGGCTCCTGAGTAGCAATCCAAACCGCAAACTTTGCCTCGGCGCGCGTGTGTGCGCAAGCGCTCGGAGACTCTGCCCCTTGCGAAGGGCGCTGTATAAATACAATTGTTGTTGCTGTTGATGCCTGTGTCCCCTTCACGTGCGCATGCGTGCGTGTGTACCTGGTTTGAATGCATGTGTTTCTGTGCGCGAGTGCCCTCCGCTTCGACCGTGCCATCGTTCACCCTCCTTCCCCCCCTCACTGCCCTCCACCCTCCCCGATTCCGACCACCAGCTCGAGTCCGAAACACTGACTGCCCAGCGCCTCGGGACGTCCTCCCGCATGTGAAAGGCGCTATCCAAATGTAATTTTTGTTCTTGCTGTTAAGCTAAAGAGCATCACCTTAAAATCAAACCATGTAAGATCTTGTGGAATTTAGGAAACCAGAGAAAGAAAGGAGAGATAGAATTTGTAGGGACACAAATAGGAACGTGTCTGTGTGTGTCTGTCTGTTAGGTAACTCAATCACGGTTCTCTTAGGGTTAAAATATAAATCTCTGGCTCAAGTGGCACTGAATGAGGAAGTACTGTCTGTACAATTGCAAAATCTGTGCCAAAAATATTAATTTAGAGCATGAACCCAGGCCTCTCAGTTCCCTTCTTACATGGTTTCCTTACAGTAAAGGCTTAAAGTTTCGCCCTTTCCCAGAGCCTTAAACCCCACCTTCCGTCCGTCCGAATATTGAACACTGTGCAGGATTTTGGAATGTTCTGGCGTTCAGCCTTAATTTATAAGCCGGTTTTATAGTAGGTTTTGTTCTGGAGAAACTGCTTGCGAAATTAATACTGTATTTCAGAATAATCAAAAGCTCCGCACAATTTTACATTTTCGGGGTTCAAAACGGCTGCATTTCTAAATCCATTCCGTTGAATTACTCTCGAATCCTACCAAAGCCAACACCTGACCCAACCCGTTTTTCTGAAGGGCGGCAGAATGGACTCCCGGGCACCTGGCTCGCAAGTGGCAAACATCTTGGGAGCGCTTAAAAAAAAATAAAGGTGAGGAAAGAGAAAGAACGGGCAGTTGGTGCGGAAAGAAAGTCAAAACTCCCCGGAATGATTCACAGATTGACTTTACTTTGCTGGTGAAATCAAACAGCCATCTCATACAAAATTCACAGTCATTACACTTCACAGTAAAATCCCGTGAAGCGCTTCAAGACTAAGTTTATCCCGGAGTCTTGGCTAACGTTTTCCCCTGATACAAATGATCATTCACTTTGAGGTTGTTTATGGGACATTGCCATGTGCAAATTGGCTTCCATCGTCCGCTACAAATTACACACAGTCACCTCACGTCACATTAAATGCTATGAAACATTTCGAGAATTCCTCCAGATGCGACGGGCGCTGTATCAAAATGCCAGCTGTTTTTTTAAAAGCAACAGGAGCTGTTATTCTGCGAGGATTATTTCACATTAAAGTGCCTTTCACCTAAGAGGAAGCGCATTACAGAACATGATGAGTTAGAAATTAAATGAAAGCTGGTCTGGAGGCAAATCTGAGAGCTGATTTGCACCCACTACATCCTCAAAGCGTAGCCGTCTACGAGAGTAGTCAGTTCATTTGGACCTGGGGCCTGAATTTGGAATGAGGAAGGAAGGCAAACCAGGAAACAGGAGGAAAAATTCATCACTCTCTTTCGCCCACAAAATATACAGTCAATTCATGCCACAGTATATTCTGTGAAGCACTTTGAGACATCTCAATGATGTGATAAGTTTCTACATCAAATGCAAGGATTATTATTATTATTATGGCAGTAGTTTTCCCTCAATGTACGCCTTAATCACCACGTCAGATGGGACCTAAACCAAAGACTGAATTGAATGAACAAAATAAATAAGACATCGGTGTTTAAAATGCCACATTATTTAGGTCAAATGAGGCAGTCGTTCAGCAGGGTCCCATAAACAGCGATGAAGTGAGGAATCAGCTGAACTCTTTTGGGGGGGTAGGAATGTTCGCCAGTACACGTTATGTTGATGATTCAGGTCACACAACAGCAACATTTGTGTAGTGCCTTTCACGTCAGGAAGACGTCCCAAGGTGCTGGACAGTCAGGGATCTGCACCCGAGCTGGTGGACGAACAATGATCCGATGGTTCCCGAAGCGGGTCTCCCGGGTCATGTGCTCTGCGCTGTAGCTCAAGCAGACGCTCGTGTCACAAAAGTTCCCATTTCAGGTTGCGCTGCTTCCTCCCTTCCTCCGAGCCCTGCAGCGAGAGAGAGAGAGAGAGAAAAAAAAAAATCAGATTTCATCGAATCTCTGGGGAGGTGTCATCTCGAGTACGACAGGAAAGGGCTCGACTGTGTTTCCATCATCCACCCCTCCCAACCCAACCCGCCCCTGGTGAGAGAACCTGCCGGAACTCAGGTTAAACGCTGTTGGACGTTATGCTGTGTAAGGGGCGCTATGTAAATGCAAATTGTTGTTGAGCTCAGGAGTGAAGACTTCGTACAGGGGTTGTCTGTCCTGCCAGCCTCTGATGAACTGCAACTCAACAAGTCATTCAGCACAGCACAGGGGAATCAGGGGCATTGAGTGACTTCTCTGCCCACCTCCCCCTGGCCGCAACATCCCAGGTCACTGGAACCCCTGACAAGGAGACCTTTGAAAACTCAATTCTGCAGATCTCAAGATGCAATCTCACTTCGGAGCAGCCTTTCCTCAACACCACCATGTCGAGATTTTCATAGATTGCACAGCACGGAAACAAGCCATTAGACTCAACAGGTCCGTGCAAATGTTTATGCTCCACACAAGTCTGACATACCAAACTTGCATTTAATCGCAGAGAAAATACTTGCTGATTGGAACTGGGTACGGGACAGGGAAGTAAAACTGGGAGTTCCTTACACAACCACAATCACCACCACCACAACAACAACATTACATTTACGTCGGTAGGACGTCCCAAGGCGCTGGACAATCAGTGTTTCGGACCCGAGCTGGGGGTTGGGATGGGGGAGGGTGGAGGGCAGTGGGGGAAGGAGGGTGACTGAAGGCATGGTCAAAGAGGAGGGTCTTGAGGTCTTGAAGGAGGCAAGGGAGGGGCAAGGCGAAGGGACTGTGAGATGGAGTTCCAGAGGGTGGGGGTAAAGTGGCAGAAGGCCTGCCCACCGATGGTGCGGGAGAGGACACGGGCCGCAGAATTCTGGATGATCTGCAGCCTATGGAGGGAGGAGTTGGGGAGGCCGATAAGCAGAGAGTTTGTGCAGTCGAGCCTGGATGTTACGAATGCAATGCAAACGTAATTTTGTTGTTCTTGTTGTCTCGGCGGCCTGCGCTGTGAGACAGTGGCGGAGCCGGGCGATGTTGCGGATGTGGGGGAAGGCAGAGCCGGGCTTGGCATGGCATGGATGGGTGGGAGAAAGAATGGTTGAGGATCAAACAAGAAGCCAAGGTTCCTGACTGGCTTAGTGAGATAGAGTTAACCACATTACCTTCCTGACTAATATGGATGGCCTTCATGATGTGACACTATACAATATATTGTGGAGTCACGTAGCATAGCGGTTAGAGCACTCGCCTCGCAAGCAAGAGGACCTGGGTTCGATTCCCGGGCGGGGCGAAACCCGAGGTAACTCTCGTTGCTCCTCACGCCTCTGTTTTCCTACCAGTAAGTAAGAACCCGGTTGTTAGTCGATCGGCGGATTGCTTTCCGGGGGTAATAATCCCTCCAATCCACAACTGTTTGTGGGACATTGCTGTACGCAACTGGATGCCGTTTCGCTCCCAAAATACACAATCAATCCAGTTTACAACACATATATATTCTGTGGAGCCCTTTGAGACGTCTCAGCGACGTGATAAGGCGCTATATCAAATGCAAGGATTATGATGATTAATCATCTCTTACCAGTGATAGCTGCCGCAACCTTTGTTGGAAGGGGACAGCTTGGTTGGTTGGTGCTCAATAGACGCAGCCTTCATTGCATTGAACAGTCACCTCAGAGCGATTTGCCTTCCACACCCACGGCCACCCTCTGCCACTCTGATAGAGGCTCCATCACCCACGCAGATGGGTCACAGGGCTTGAATGGGATTTTCGTCACACCTCCCGTTTCATGGGGACACATCTAAAGTTAATCCAGAAAGACAAACTCTTTGACCAACACTTTCCAATTACTAAGTACAGAGTTTACATTTGCAGATCCTTCCCCCCCCCCACACCCCGATGGAAACCTTTTACCTCTTTGCTGGGATTTTGTGCGCATTTCGCCCACAAAATACACAATCACTTCACTTCACAGTATATTCTGTGAAGCGCTTGAGATGTCTCGAAGATGCGATAAGGCGCCATATCTAATGCAGGGAATATTATTATTCAGCTCCAATGGAACCAGCCACCATCCATCATCTCTCACCCGAAGGGGCCATTGCTCGCCTTTATGACTCAACCTTGGGGGAGGACAACAGTTGTGAACACCCAACCCAGAGGCAAAACACTCACCTTTCTTCACCAGCATCAGCACTGATCCAGTTCTGATCTTCTTTACTTCCAGCGTCTCGTTTTCTCCCAGTTGTTTCCCTTTGTAAGTGAAGACCATCTTCCAGGAGGTGATTCCTTGTTTCACTAAATGGACTCGAATGTGCTTCATGTTGTCATTGGGCCTCACCTTCAGTTTCACAGTCTGCCCACTTTCAGGCAACTGCACCTGGATCTCGTGCCTCTCAAAGTGGGACAGCAGCTTCTGCACCGATTCCATCGGAGACCAAAAGGTTGTGAGAATCAGACAGACTGAGTGGGGACTGAGAGAGAGACAGAGCGAGAAGCTGAGAAGGAGGGAGCAAGTGACTGAAAACAGGGGAGCGAAAAGCTGAGCCTGCGAGAGAGAGAGAGAGAGGGAGAAGCTCACACCAAGACAGCCAGAAGGTGTGACTGACGCACTGCACTGATTGTCATCAGTGTTTTGTAGCTTTCTATCCCTGACTGGTTTGAGAACAGGTTCCGCAGTATTTTCAGGGAGTGACCTACATCCACCCACTTCTCAGCAACACAGCATTACCTAAATAACAAGGAAGAAATTTCCTTTCAGCTACCCGTCTGCTTTCCCAGCATTTGGGTTGGAATGCAGCACCTCATCATGTCAAAACATTGTCGAGATTTGCAGAGCTTTCTGGAAAGTCCAGCGACCTTGCGATTTTTAGGCAAATGCAGTGCACAGCAATGTCCCTCAGACTCCCATGAAATGAACGACCAGTTTTTTTTCTGAGATTTTTGGCCAGTTCACTGGGAGATAATTCCTTTTCTTATTGAATAGTGCTGTTCCCCTTTAATGTCCACCTGAACAGGTACAGACAAGACGTCAGTTGAACTTCTCAATATAGTGCATCCCCCAGGACCTAGATTGCGAACTAAAGCCCTGACGCGGGATTTAAACGAGCCAGGTTAAACCTTTTCATGTGGAGTAACATTTCACACTGTGCGGAATAGTGAGTGGTGGTGGGGAGGCAAGAGAGTGGGCACAGGAGGAATTATGTAATCATAGGCACTGTCAAGAGTTAAGTTTTTTTAGGTGGCTCTTGAAGACAGAGTTGACGAGACAGAGATTGAGGAAATTACTGACTGGTGATTGAAAGCAGATGGATAGCAGTTCATACTTGAGCTGGGATGTCCTCATGACGTGAAAGGCACAATACAAATGTAATTTGTTGTTGTTGGAGCTTGGGGATGGCAAATACTCGTGAAGTGATGCTTCACAAGAATAATACTTGAGACGTCTGTTACAGGTGCTTTTTCAAAGGCAAGGATTGCATGCAATCATGATATTGAGTCATAAACGCCTTCAAGGGTGTTTTTGACTGGGTTTAAGCCATTAGTACTCTAACAGAACACTGCATTGTTAGAGGTGCTATCCTTTCGATGAGACATTAAGCCAAGGACATGTCTATGAAGGAAAATATTAACTAGTATTACACAGAATAACAATTTATTTGATGAAGTCTAGACTTTGACCAGTTCAGAGAAGTCGAGCAATGCTGTGCTGGGTTTAAGGAAAGGCATGTGCTGGCAATCACAGCCTATCTGTTCACCTGCCAAGTGGATATTAATCCTTATTGTAAACAGCAGCAGGTGGTAAGGAATGTTTGCTCTTCCAGGACTTAGAGATCCCAACCTTGACACAATAATCACCACGGTGACTGCAGCCAATAACTTGTTCAAATTTATGGTCAACAGCAACTGCAAATCCAACAGAGAGAGAAGAATGCTGATAATTGAGGAGCCACCACACAGAGCAAGCAGAGGCCGTGTTAAGATGACGATGTCGGAGAGGTATTTAAAAGCAGAAAACACAAAAGCAATGGAACCTAACAACGCAGTTAAATGGCAACTTTTATCTAAGAGGAAAGCTATGACGCACTTCACACATAAACAACAGGGAGGCGAGGGGGTGGTGAATGTGAGGGCGTTGGCTAAAAGCACAATAAAAGGTTTTTAAAAACATTTGGAGAAGGCACAATATGAAAGGAAGCGAGGATTAGTGGCCAACTTTCAGCCACTGATGACGGCATGGAGGGGAGTAAGAGAATAGATCTACCTCTTCCAACTGCACCTTGTGGGCCATTTTCCCCTTCTCGGGACACCAAATCCTGTCCGACCTGTAGAAACCCATCATCATTGCTCCATTATCTACACTGGCCACTTCACACATGGAAATTCCCAGGTTTTTAAAAGCTCACTTCCCAGAGGGACACATTCCTGCTTTCCTGATTCAAGAGTATTGGGAAACGCAAAATACTGCAGATGCTGGAAATCTGAAGTCGCTGCGAATACTCAGCGGATCAGGCAGCATCTTTGTGGAGAAACGTCGACTCACTTTCGTTTCTCCATAGATGCTGCCTGACCTGCTGAGTGGGCGTAGCGACTTGTTTTTGTTTCAAGAGTATTAGGCACAGGTTAGTAAGATCCAAGTTTGGGGGACTCGACAGTGTGTGTATTTACATACACACACACACGTGTGAGTGGTGTCAGCATCAAACTACTGCAATGTTAAGCATTCTGAGATTTGAAGGACGCAATTATAAATGTAAGTTAACAGAAACTGCCATTTTACTAGAACTGCCTGGAAAACTCTCAATAAGTCTTAGCTTCGGTGCCATTCAACACAAATCATGGAACGGTGGGTGATGGGGGACAGACTGGCTTTGCCCCACTTTCAAGGTTTGGGAAGTCTTCACCAACAACCCTGGAACACACCTCGGATAAAACATGTGGCCATGCACATGTACTCACATCTCTTCCAGCTTTTATGAAGCACTAGGTTGAAAGCCTTATAAATAAAAACAATGGTAGCAAATTAAGATATCACCTCCCTTCTATTCAGCCATCACAGAGAAGGGTCTAGCCTTACATGGTGAGGAATAACTTTCTGCAACTTGGATGTAAAGTTTCGAACTATTTCAAAGTCCCCTCCGATTTATTTTCAGTTAAGGCTTCAAATGCAAGGATTATTATTATTATTATTATTATTATTATCAGCATGTATGGACCACAAGTGAATTATTCAGGAAACACCAGTGAAGCTTTATGCACTGTAAAATGGACACTTAGAATACAGGTGAAGATTGTGCAGTTGATGTGCAAGGTCCTTGTGGGTTGTGGTAAGATCACAAGCTTTGTCAAAATTAAAAATCTTGAGAAAACAGGAATTAAGTGAAAACAGAAAAAAAATCACTAAAAAAAAGAAAACAGCAATGAACTCTCACCATGGGGCAAGTAAATGAAAACATAAGCTCTTAGTAGCTGTGATGACAGTTAACAGTAGGCAAGCTGAAACTTCAGGTAAAGAACAGCAATCAAAGACACAAAAAAAAGGACAGATCAGGAAAAATAAAGAATGAAGCAGTTTATTGAAGGCGCAAGAACTACATTGCCCAGAGGTGTTAATAGTTGTAAAAGAAAAAAATTGCATAATTTGAAAGGTGTTACACTGGTGAATATATTCATACAGCAACATACAAATTCATTAGAAAATAATTTTAATCTCTTCTCTTTGCATTACAAACATTCTTCTCAATAGAAGAGGAATTGTTTTCTGAAAAACCCTTTTACATACGAAACCTGACAGCTGTTTTTTTTAATCAAAATATACAAGACAATGCTTCCATATAAAAACCGGTTTTGTTCCCCTTAGCCTCTCTAGGTAAAAAAAAGTTATGAATATTTACACCTTTTTTCAAACATTCTTTACAGCTGAAAAGAGGGAATTTAAGAAATCAAGGTCAAAGATGGGGAGTTGTATGTAATATTCTGGTTCAAAACAAAAATCTTCATGTACATTTTCTTAGGCAGCACCTCTAACAGTCTTACAGGAACGCAGATTGAATCCAGCATCATGTCGTGCACTGGATTCCCTGAAGGCGAGCTACCAATCATTCTAGGTGCACAGATAACTTTACAGTAATCACATTTGAGGGCTAGAAGAGGAATAGTAAAATGTAAAGAACTGCAGAAGGCACAATAACTTTGGTCCATGAAACCCTGAAAAAAAAACTAAAAATGTTAAACATTCTTGGGCATTCTGCTCTAACAATGTAAACTATAGCACGTGGTATTGGTATAGGCACAAGATTGTTTTTTAAAAAATGGTCATATTAATGAGCACCCATATACACAAATCAATAGATTAATCAAAAGCATAAAAATGCTCATTGGTATGACTCCAGCATTTAGCCCACAGTGGAATGTTTGGGAGGTGGGTTTTTAAACACTTCCAACTTTAGAAGGGAATGCTGATTTGTACACTTGAACAGGGAGAGAAACCATGAATTCTGAGCTGTTCTGAAAGAAAAAAAACAATTGTAATGCTAGTGCCAACTAGATTTTAAAATAAACCTTTTTAAATGGACAACCCTTTTCCTTACAGTAATCGTCTTGCACACAGGCCTTTTCTAGAAGCAACTCAGCCCTCGTTTAAAAGCATCCTATCGAATGCAGTACATTCCAGACAGGGCTGAAACATCAATCAAGGAACCATACTGCCTGAACCAGAGTGCTGAGCTCTAACCAAAACAGGAGTTGTTCATTATCTGTCCAAAGGTAGCGTAACTGCAGCTGAGGGTGCGGGCCTTAGGTTAATCTGCAATGTTACTAAGTTCCGGTCAAGTCTGCCAATTCGAACAGCACAGGCACCCACAAAAGGATCAGCAATTCTACAAATCATTGAGAGCCAGTCTGCAAATAAAAAGCCATGCTATAGATTTACAGCAAACTTACTGGTAAACCCAAGAAGTTAATTTGAGTGATGTGGATGTAGTTAACTGGGGATTCTAGAAGCCAACAACAGAAACACTCAGTTTACCCCACACCACTATTCTGAGAATTTCAGAAAGTAAATGCAGATACTGCTCCCACTAGTTTGTTGATTTGCTGAATCATACGACCCTAATGGAAAGCCCTGGTCAGAGGTGATTGTACATATGCTATTTCTGTACTTCAAGCATCAACACTTATCCACAGGACCAATATTCAATGGCCCAGCATGGGGTTAACTGAGCTTTAAGTAGCCAATGGACAGTGAAATGGTTATAGCTAAAAATCACACATGTGTGGTGGGAAACTTTTGTCCTCAAGTACTGTAATGACAATTCAACGATACTGTAGAAACCTCTTTGTCAATGCTGTACTCGTGCATAAGGGAACAAGGCAAGGTAAAAATGGAATGGAATCACTGGGTAGTAAGAAGAGACTGAAAGGTGATAAGTCTGGTCTCGAGTCTCACCCAGAAAGCTATATAAAAATCAAAAAAGCAAAAAAAAAAAGCACAATTTACTAAAGATGGCATAAAACAAACTTCACGCCACTTGAAATTTCAGCTGATCTATTACATGAATCTTACAGGTGACGGAATTATACCTTGCGGGCCGCGGGAACCAATATTGCACCCGGCTCCGTCACAGATACAGGTGTACAAGCGCACAAATTTCCAGCTCAAAAAAAAATTGCTTAAAATCAATCATACTAAACAAAATACAAGGTAGAAAATACATTCTACAGACTCCATAAGATAGTAAAACACCCCAACTATAAAATACATATGAAGATATTGAATATAGAAGGCAACAAGCCAAGGCCATTTAGAATTGGGACTGTTTCTGGTATCGCAGCTTCTTTGCGAGGAAGAGGGCACGTCACTAGTGGTTGCCTTATGAAGGGCACTTCTGGAGTTGGGCTAAACAGGTTTACGCAATTCTACAGGAGTGAGTGCCTTACAATCTGAAAAGCAGCCTGTGGCAAGTGTCCTGTAAAACATTGCGCATTTCCATGCGTGCAGTATTGGTGTGAATCAGCTCAGATTCAGTGTTATAAGATTTACTCTGAAAATAATTAGTCAACATCTGATCAAGTGTTAGCACAGACAGTAAGCAGAATTGCTCAGTTTTCTGGTCTAAACTAGACCATACTTTTTTTAAGAAAAAAAATACAATTATATTAACATGCAAAGCGCTTAAAATGCGGTGTGGCATTTTATACAAATACATTACCAGCTTACAACCTCTGGCAACCTTCATATTTGCACTGCTTCAATTGATAAAACTGAAATGCTCAACAGTCCATATTGTTGAGGCTAGAGTGCCCAAGTCAGGGCATTAGTTTGCACAGAATCCTTATGGCTTACCCAAGTGTGTTTTTTTGGGGGTGGGGGGGGGGTGAGAAAAGAGAAAAACTGTCGACTTTCAGAAAACCTTGCTGCCCAAGAACACTGATGGATTGGCTTAATTATCCAAAACCTGAGGTAGGATGGATACAGCTACAATCAGTAACTTCTGTCTGATTGCTATTTTAAGGCTACAACTAACCAGCCTCCTTCCCTCCAACACACAATTTGGACAACCAACAACATTGGAGAGCAAAACCAAGCAGCAAAACCAGACTAATCGTAAAGCACATAACCAGAAACAGACCTACAATTATAAAATGGCCATCGTTTCATTATAAGACATAAGGCACAGGATAATTATTTAATGAAATTAGATATGCTTAAAATATTATCCAGACTTCCGCAGTATAGTGGTATGGATACCCAATGGGGAAATAGGACTATTAAAAGGCTTATTACACAACCTGATATATTAGGTGCACTATTCTTGGGTGATCCCAGAGAAATTTGCAACCTGTAAACTTTTCTAGAAGAACAATTTCAAATGTTGAATTAAGAGCAACACTAGCACAAGCCAATCTGTGACAAACCAATTGAGAAATGATGGGAGCGCCACCACGAGACTGACAGGATGTCGATGGAGCTCGGGAGTAAATGTCAGAACATTTTAAAAAGATATTGGAACCATGGTTAATTTTGGGTGATTTTCCAGCTATGCACCTGCTTTGAAGTCTAGTGGCGTCTGTGGAATAAGAATCAAATCATTGTGCCCATAGGCTATACTAGATCCCATAATTTGGGACCAGCTGGGAAGTCCATGTTACAGCTTCTAAATAGTTGACTTGGAGAAAGAAACTCTGAGGTGATGATTTTCTCCAAGATCATGATTGTGAAGATCGATGAGGGCCTGGATTGCTTCTTCCACTGACCCCATCTGGATGAGAGCCATTTTGCGGTCCTTCCTAAAGTTAAGGAAGCAAGAGTCAATATCCACTGAAAAGACACAGAGTTAAACCCCTCTCATGTACCAATTTGCCAGATTAGATTCATTCCAGTTTACAAGAGCTACAGCATCACAAATAGCAACTTTCTCTAGTATTGAAGCATTTCACAAAGAAATGAAAGCTCATTTTAAAATGAACATCCCTAGAATATCAAGAGACAATATCGAAAGTAGGGGCATTACAAAAAGGAGCTGTAAGTTTGTTTTGAAGGCACAGAGGAGTAATAAAGGCCAACTGAATTTTGGAAGATACACTTTGGTGCATAGTTCAAATGGCAGAAACATAGGGCTGTGTTTTACAGCAATGATCTTCAACACTGCAGATGCATCAAATACTCAAATGGACTTTTTTTGCAATTAACTGATAAGGACAGAACCCACAGTGTAGTTTTATTTTATCCCACTTTGGTCACAAACCTCTTATAGAAAGTGCAACTTACTGAAAGAACTTGAATCCTTTGACCATGCCATTGGTGGTCGAAAACAGCATCTTCAGATCATCTTCTGTGACAGAGGGTCTACAAAAAAAATCCACAGCCAAGTCATTCTCAATTTCAATTGAAACATAAACAAAACTGTACGTAACTTTCATTCTTCTTTCCCTAACTCTACCAAGAGTTGCTTCACTCAAGTTGCACTCAGTTTACAAAGGCAATGATTAAACTATGAGTGAAACACCAAGAATTGTTTGAGTATACAGTCATAAGGAAATGAGTTTACATTTAATTGATCCATTCCATGGATTGCAGAAGGGATAAGGGATAGGACAGCTAGAACAATGGTGGTGGGGATACACAAACAGGCTGGCCAAATTGTTTATAAACATAACAGCAGATATCTTAGTTACAACCAGTGACAATGAAGAATGTTGGAAACTAGGGAGTTCCAACTGGCATCTTAAAGATCTGAGTGGCTTCTGCATCTTCCCCGGAATGAAGAGTTACAACAGCTTAAACACTTACGGAATATTGGAGAGGTGGAGGGTGGCAGAAGGAGGGAAAATATTCTGGAAGTTTTTGGATCCAGGTTTCTTGAAGCGATGAAGAGGTGAGCTGCTGTAGTCCTTGGTCAGGCCCTGGTCCTCCTGGCCCTCACGGGGCAGCTGCACAGTCTGGTGCTTGGACATGGTCACACGCATTGCCTTTCCATGAAGCCTCTGGCCATTCAAGTGGCTCATTGCTAACAAAGAGGATAGAAATGGAAATAGAAACAGAACAAGTCCCACATAACCTCATGCATCCTGAACACTCATATGGCAAACAGACCAGTTTTAATAGAATACATGCTACTGATCCAGCCTGAAACCACCACTTCTGGCAATGAATTACAAACTTCAGTGAACAAATTCACCAACCCCCAGTTTAAGATGCCCCTCGTCAATGACTCCCCAAGTGCCAATCTGGATTGGATCAGCTTTGCTCAGAACATTAAACGTTACTCAGCTGGATTCACTGGGTGAGATTCATTACTTTCTCCCAGTAAGGGAGCTTACAGTCATTTCACTATACAGTTTATTCTGTGAAGTGCTTTGAGATGTCTCAAAGACATGATAAGGTGCTATATCAAATGCAAGTAATATTATTAACGATCTTTACTGGAGTGCAAAGAAACAAAAATTCACTCTTAACAGCCACTCTGCTCACAGATGAACAGTGCTTTTGCAACAAACTGTGTCAGAGCGTTTTAAGTGCTTTGATTCTTGAATTTAGAATGCACTTGGATGAAGAGGAATATCAGCCTCAAATAAAGAGCCCACATAACTGAAGCAGTAGGCTAATCATTTAAAATCAACTTTAGTACAATTAAGTAACAAAAAAATTTTAGAAATAGATTTCTATATTATAGAATGTTGTGCAAAGAATTCACTTGACATGGTCAGCTCTGCTATTCTAACTTTCCTATTTAAATATCTTTCAGGACTTACCCAGTTGAGATTGATTAGAATCAGCCATCTGTACCAAGGAATTTTCTTTCTTGTTGAAGAGGATCTTTACGCGGTGCACATCACCATACACACCTTAAGGAATAAAAAATAATCAAGGGACATCATGAAGGAAGAATGGCTCAACTATTTCATACACAAGTTAACTGATCTGTACCCCAATCACAACAAAACATTTAAAATCAAGAGCAATTTACCCATTCTCTTCTAGTTAGCAAAATTCTGAATTAGAACAGCTATAAAAACCATTGCAGTTGAGAGTGAAACTCACGTCAAAAGCTAAATGGCAAAGAATTTAGACTATTTTAAGGCAATCTACAAAAATGTAAAGGCATGCAAAGCACTCACATGCATTACTGAAAGCATGTAAATTGAAACAGTCAAATTATAGATACTAAAATTATGCATTCAAATGGTAAACTGCAAACGTCAAACTATATTAAGTTTAACAAGAAATAATAAACAGATAATAAAGTGCTAACAATAACATACCGAAAAGAATAAAGAGGCATTTGGGCGTAACTCTCTTTAGAAGGACAGCAGAGCAAGGCAGCGGAAGACAGGAAGAGGAAAGGAATCGAGGGAGAACGAAGATGGAACGAATCATCCACAACGAAGGGTGGTTCCCGCAGAATGGTGAATTGGTTCATGGTTCAAGATGGTTAATTGAGGGGCAGGTTGGTCCGAAGAGCATTTGTTGAAGCACAGGAAGCATGGGGACCGTGCAGTCAGTTCACAAAGGATTCCGGAACAAGGTCAGGTAGGAGAGGGAGGGAGGGAGAAAGGGATTGGGAGGGGAAGGAAAGAAAAAAAAGTAGCATAAAAACAAGTCAGTATACATGAGAAATGTAGTGTTCCATCTGGCTGATCAATGACTTTCTCATTCCATTACTTCACAAGATAAAGCGATATGACTTCACCTAGAGGAACACATGCTAAAGGGAAAAGGTTTTAAGTACAGAAGATTAAAGAGACCTATCACTTATGATCCTCAAAGGCTGAATTTAAAGCCACGTTGAATAAAATTGAAGTGCGTCCTTCAACATACACCTTTGAAACTTTTACTTGTCCTGCTTCCATTCAAGGTGGAATTTGTCTATCACTTTAAGCACCTTTAGCAAAATAACCTAGCCTCAAGCTAATTGTGAATATAATCTTGGCTAAATGAACTTAACTGTAGTCGCATTTTAGTTGCATTATTAAAAGGATCCCTTTTTCAAAAGAATGCAACTACAGTTAAGGCTCATTCAGTCAAGATAATATCCATGCCTGGAATTAAAGATCATCCAACTCCTGAGCAGAACCAAGGTCCTTGGAATTCAGCCTTCTTGGGAAGCTTTCCAAATTTACTGATTAGAACAGTATGCTTAAGGACACATTGCAAATATTTCAACAACTTTAAAGAAGTCTAGAAGTTGCAAAAGTGATGAGGGTCTCCAAAATACATAAGCAAAAACAGAACAGGGAGACTCTTTGTATCATTACATAAGCATGCACAAGTAGTAGTGTATTCAAGATGGTTAGTTTATAGCATTACTACAAGTAACAGCAATCTCTAGCCCAAAGATAAACTGGATTGAATAGTTTCAAGCAAAAATTAAGAATTGGGAGTACTGGAAGAAATAGTAAAGGGGCGGTGGGGGGAGGAAAAGAAAGTTGCAGGAACCACTTGCAAATTTTCATGTGAAAGCATAAGGTTTATTTTTTAAGACTGCTGCTAAATGTGTGAAGGATACAGAATGGCTCATTTTCATTCCGACAGGTTAAGAGTTCTCTGGTTGAAAAGTAAAAATTCCTTGGTGCTTGCTCAACCGAAATGTTTATTCCTAACTGAAGTGCCACGTTCCTCCCTATAAAAAGCTGACAAGATCAATTTCAACGGTGCTCTGGTGTTTAAACTCCTCCAAGCCTATTTGAGTTATAGCAATTTCCATTTACTTTGTTTTGAAGAGTTCATTTAGCAGATTTCAGAAATGTCAAAGCCAAGTAGTAAAGGACAAATGTCAGCCTTTAGTTAATCAAATTCAAGTTCAGCTGGAATAGGCAGAAAAAGAGTAATGCAAAAGCACAAGTAATACACCAATTGCAACCATCTACTATCAAATGAATGGGATACCATTTTTAGGAAAAGCCATTATTGATTGATAACCCCTGCAACCAAAATACTGACACCCTAAACTGTCGACCTCTAAAAATGCTAGTTACAACCAAATGGAATCAAGACAAATGGAGAGAATCTGAGACACAGGGAAGGGTTGAAATAGGGAAACCTTCAGAGAACTTTGAAAAGAAAACACGTGAGCTAGTAACACACAATAAGGGAATCTGCATGGAATGAAATGTAGCTGGCAGAAGTCATAGGCCTGAGATTTATAGTGTACGAATCAGTAATCCAACTTTTCAGAGATCAACCTGAAAAGCAGATCCCCACTGTTTGCCTGCGGTAACTTGTGGGGCACGAGAAAGGAAGGTACCATCCTATCCAGTGATATTCCTTTTACAAAACTGTTTGCCAATGAGTGATTAATTGAGTGGGCTCAATTATTGGGGTTGTTTTGAATTAGTTAATCATAATTGGAGCATCATTTAGGGGGGGGGAAAGAAGAAAAGCTACAATTAGCATCATCTCATCAGCTAACACATCTCAGTCATAAGCAAGGTGCTAGACTGGTTGTTTCTAAGTAATCTGACCAGTGTATGCATTGTGGACATTGGGTACAGGAGAGTAGCTCTGATGACCTTCATGCTCAGATTATGAAAGAAGACCAAGGTCTATCTAGTTTGCCTTCCACCATCCTGGCCGTTGCTTAACATGTTGTGTCCCAAACTATATACTGTACCCTGAGACCATTTGACCTAAACACCTGAAGATATTTCAGAGTAAGCAGGACCTCAGTATTTGCATTCCATGGTTAGCAAAGAGAGCAATGATATAAACTCAAACAGCAGCATTCCCTAGCATCAAATAGAAATTACATCAGAAGCAGGTTGGGACTTGGCATATTTGAAACTAGGTGCATCCAGAGGACAGAGAATATCTTATTGAACAACCCAGCTAGCTGCCAGTCTCAGGTTAACAATTATTTTGGATACATGCAATTAGGATGAAAGTTAGATTTGACAAAGGCTCAACTATTAAGAACACACTGTGCACAATATACAAGGCCTCAAATTGTCAAAAACTCAAACCATGTAGTTTTGCTAGTTGTGTTGCAATCCCACTGCAACTCAATTTTATCCTCTTGAAATCAAAAGCCACACTGAAATAGTTAGAAGACACCACATGCAAACTCACTCTCAAGGCCCTAGCTGATACCTGCCATCTTGATTGAGAGCTAGGACATGAAACTGTAAACTCTCCAGGACCACATTACTGCATCAACACCCAGTGGTTAAGATTACAGATTTCAGAACTGGGGAGCAGGATGGATGCAAGTGTACCTGAAAACCATAGAAATGTTGGCACACCTGGAGTACAAGTTGTTTTTTAAAAAAGACGTTTTGCTAAAGTATACAAAATGAAAATTATCTCCCAGAAAACTAAATCAATGTTCCCACAGATTGGGGGGGAGAAAGACAAAATTGGATTTTTGACAGGCTGCTAAAGTTTCCTTTCAGTAATCTATCCATGCAAACTCTGAATTAAGTTTATATATGAAGCTGAATATCGTCTGTATTGTTGGGAGCTAATATGGGAGTCAGGGAAGTGGTGCACATAGAAGTTAACTTATTTTTAAATAGCTAAAAATTGTATTATTGTACAATTCATTTCCCAGGAGGAAGGGACGAGGAGAGGATTATAAGGCTTTCATGGGATTCTTTCAGAAATGGAATGGTTTGAGGCAGAATAGATTAAGGAAAAGAAACTGCTCAGAGAGAGAGGATGTAGAAAACCAGCACACGTTGCACTAACCTCAGGATTGAGATTGCTAACGAGCAGGACAGTATTGCCTAGAGACGAGAAGCCAGGGATACCCATGCGACTTGCTGCTGCTGCAGCTGCTGCTGCTGATGGCATGCCGAGCGGAGCCAAGGAGTGAACCCCTGGAACGGACAAACCTACAGACGAGAGACTAAGTCATAAGATAACATGCACTTAAATCATAAAAAAATACAATCAGCTGAAGATACTTACACCTGGATGCAATAGTTAAGCTGTACTGATACTTCATTCAAAACAGATACTAGAAGCGCTGAACTCCAAGACCGATCTATCTGCTAATAGATAGCTAATAATCCCCCAACAGCTCAGGTAGTTAAGCCAGGCAGTTTCAGTGTGTGAAAGGTCCTAGGTTGATGCCTGATCTACACTGACTTAGCTGACTTGCGTGCATGTGATGTGCTTCATTAAATGTGTGAAAATAGTGCTTGTAGTAGAGCAGACCTGTACAGGAAAAGCCTGCCTTTGGGAGGTGTGTGTGGGGGTTGAAAGGAGGGGAGAGAAAGAAAAAGAAGTCTCAATGCAACAGAACAGATGCTGTAGAAATTTAAAAATGATAGTAGTGGAATTTCTAATTCAGTCAGCAATAGTTGCAATGAACTTCGGGGCCAGAAGAGCAGCTCTGAATGCAAGAGGCATATCCTTACTACAGTAATAAGTTACCTCATATTGCCTTTAAATGCCACATTAGTATTAAGTATCTGAATGGAGTGGTTTGCTTCAAGATCCTGGCTGTAATCAATACTATCATTAAGCACTTACAAGGCTGGCTGGTTAATTCATACTTAAATCCCAAACCTGACCAGAAATAGCATTATAAACAGGATGTTTAGTAGGTTTACAAAAGTTACAACATGAAAATGGGTATGCTGTGCAGTTACACATTGTTATAAATGTTACTGTTTAGATTCTGTAATGATTAGAGTACATACAGTAGTCTGATGGACGTAGGAGGAAGTCTGCAGAGATACAAGTTTTCAGAGTATCAGCAACTTCAGCATTATATACAGGATACATCAATAAAGCTTATGCTTTAGTGTTACTAAGCTTATTTAGTATATCAATGCTCTGGGGAATGATTATAATTCAGCAAGTAGGTCTAATTTATCACCACAAATTGCTTCTGCCACCATTACTTCACCCAATATGCCCCTGGATTCAAGTTAGAACAATTAATTTTAGTGGCTGGTTGTTCATTACAGATCAAGCAGGAACAATACAAAAATGTTCACTTGCTCACCACATCAGCATGCAGCAAGATACGACATCTGCAGTGTACAACTGCAAAATGTCACAGCAAATGTTATGCTTCACTAAAATCCTACTTGACATATTATTAATTTTGTGCCAAGCATACAGGGTAACATCAGCTTGAATTTTACTGAGGTGAGACTTAATGTCTCTAATATTAAAAATTCATTAAGCAGCTGGAGTACTAATTATGGAGTAAGGACCAACAGGCAGACAGCATATTGTCACTTAGTATGCCAAGTACACTAGTATAGTTAAATTCTGCTCCAAAATATTTTCCAAGAATATTGAACCCAACACCAATTAATTAAATTTCTCAATTTGCTTTGGATATTTCAAACTATGCTGATAAACTCAATACACAAGGGGCAAACTAGCCCAAATAGGGACTTACCAGCTTGCTGGAAGGCAATGCTAGGAGGAAAGCCAGCCCCTCCATAAGGTGATGATATGATACCTGGTGCACCTGGCAAAAGAGCAAGTCTGTTAATAGCAGAATAGATAATTGGGAAAAGGCAACAGCTGAACAGTTGAGAAATATCTTTGAATGCAGATGGACAAAAACTAACAGTATACAATCTTCAGAAATCCTCTATTCCTTCAATAACCATCATCTCAGCTCCACAAAGAACACTGATCCTAGCAATGCAAACATATTTACACTCCTGCATACTGTACATTCCACAACATTAAAACCAGACATGAACCACCAGTTCAATCTTACTGGCTAAGAACTTCCAAAATCATTATCTATGCATTTCAAACAATTAATTTTGCACTTATGGCCATTTGGCTGAGTGAATACTAATTCTTAAGTGATCCATGTGAAATTCTTATTTTCAATTTAAGCTCCCATTTTCTAATAACCAAGGGCTTCATTCCATATCCAGCTCTCAACTTCCTTCATAAATGTGGTAAGTTAGAAGGCAGCCGATCGGCTCATCCAGCCCGTTTCACGATTCATTATAACCTCTCCACCTTGGTATCCATCTTAAATTCCTCATGAATTTTTCATCTACACCTGCAGTGCATTGCAGATTACTCAGAGGAAAAAAACTGTACTCCTAACTCACTTTGACCCCCCCACCACCATCTTAATTGATGTCCTCTTGCAACCAATTGACACCAGGGGGAAAAGTCACTTCTTCAGTTACAAGAGAACTTTCATTTTGCCAACTCCTCAGCACCTGACACACACACACCACATGACATATTCAAACCTTCCATGGCATTGGCAGTGATAGTGGATGACCCTTGTTCCCAATTCACCAGTAGAGATAGTCTTCATTTTCTCTCACACTTTTATAATTTAGACCACTTTGATTAGATTTCCATGTACAGCCCCAGTTTAAGTCTATCCTATTCCCATTCACCCCTGGCTTTATCCTAGTATCCACTGCAGAAGACATCACAGGATATGAGCTGCTTCAATTGCAAAGCACTTGCCACACGAGTGCCTATGTACAATGTAATGCACTCAGGTGCCATATACAAGTGAAACATCTCAAATATGAGGCTGAATGTCGTTCGTTCACTTGTGTATGCTAAGTGAGGCACCTTGTGCCACAAAATTATTCACATTAACCTACTGTAATGTTAATTTGCACATACAATGGGTAAAGGTTTCCTTACCAAAAGCAGCTGCCATGGTTTGGTCCAAGGTTGGCTGGCTGTCACCAGATGGCAGGTCGGGACGAGTGTAGTCTCGGCTTTTATCATTATTGTATTTAACATTAAGGCTAGTCAGCTTGGAGAAATCAATACGCAGAGTGCAGCAGGCATTATAGATATTCTGTCCATCTAGGGCCTAAAGGAAAAAGGAACACTGATCACACTGCACAACCAAGCAGAGGTGAAGCACATTACAATCTACCCAAAAAAGAAATCATTGCCAGAGGCAGACATTTTTACCACTGGATGTGTATCATTATACATGTTAAGTGAAATGTGTTGAGTGCAAGTAAATCAGATTGAACATTTCATTACTGAAGCCAGGAACATCCATTTAGCAAGTAAAACTAAACTGTATTCCAGTGTCATGAAGCTATAAGTTAACCTAGCTGTGAGCCAAGGCTTAGAAACTTGCTAGTTATTATACAACAATTTGGCAGACTTTATAACACAAGTTTTCCAACACAAGATGACAGAAATTGTGCAAAGGACTTCTGAGCTGTCCGGATACCAAATGTTGACAAGAAGGAGCTTTCAATCACCTAATCACAATCCTTGCATTTGATACAGCGCCTTAGTATGTCTTTGAGAAGCCTCAAAGCGCTTCACAGAATCTACTGTAAAGTGGATCAACTATATACAGAGAATAGTCCCATCAATTTGATCTGGTCAGTTGCCATATTATTGCCAGATACTAAGTTTTGTACGTTACCCTGGAGGGCACTACCATTCACTCATCAAAATAGCAGAAAATCTTACCAGTTTAGCATGTTGTGCACTGGGGCCATCAGTATATTGGAGCAGGGCCTGGAACTGGTTGTTCTTAGTGAAAGTAATAATTTTCATCACGCTGCCAAACTTGGAGAAAATCTGAAACCAATGCACATAAATTACTACATCAAAATCTACACTAGACTGCATCACATTGGTTTTGGCAGAGATCAACAATTCATCACTGCATGCCATCTACAATGATCAAAAACATTGCATTGGACTAGTGATAATGTATGGGACATTTGCCAGTTTGTTGGAAATTCTTATATGGTCACAGAACATATTCAAAACATTTAGTGGTTACTGTTTGTATAAACAGTGAGAATATACAGCCAATCCATCAAGTCTCATCTCTCAGACGCAAAATATACTGTCTGCAATTTTCATCGGCAGCACAGGATATATTAGCATCTGGTTAGGATTATAAATAAAGGTTGAAAGCCTCAGGAAAAAGTACCACGCGCATTATAGCAAAATCAATACTAGAAGACTGGCAAGTCAAGCTAAAAACCAACACTCACCTGGTGCAATACGTCCAGAGTGACGGGATAAAAGAGATTTTCCACAATGATGCGGAGGACAGGGCTCTGACCAGTGAGGGCGACTGAAGTATCTGCGACTCCGGTGCCAGTAATAGCCATGTTGGCACTTTGCACTGCGGTTACTGCCTGAAGAGCTGCATGTGCTCTCTAAAGAAAGAAATACAAATTCAACAAGTGTAAATTATAAACTGAGTAAGTTCAGATACAATACTCTGTTGTTTTCAATAGATTATACAAAAGGTAAACAAGACATGAATAAACTATACTGGGACTGGGATTTGCTCCACACAACAGAATACTGTTAACAAACTGAGGCACACTTACTGCCTGATTAGGAGAGTTGTCAGTTTTCAGTTCCTTGTGGTTAGAATACTGGATGTAGATGGGATGGTTCCGCAGGTATGGAGTGACAGTGCTGTAGTAGCTCACCATTGTGTTAGCTGCTTCTTCGCTATTCATTTCTATGAAAGCCTGCAAATTGGAAAGGCACAAAGTGACCACTAGATCATGAAACTAACTCAACAAGGTGAACAAATCCAACATATAGTGCCAAATACCGTGAAAGGTATTAGTTTAGCAGCACGCTGCTTACAATACAGATGTGCTTTTTGGGACCCACTAATCCACATTTGTAAGGTTTACACAAGATAGCTCTGAATACTACTGAAAAACAAAAGGAAGTTACGCACCTGATTTTTCCCCTTCAGCATGAGAAGATTGGTGACTTTGCCAAAAGGTAAGCCTAGGGAGATGACCTCTGCTTCTGTGATGTCATTAGGAAGTTTGCGGATATGAATGACTTTGGAGGGTACTATTCCTGCGCTTCGGTTATCACCTTTGAACTTTTTGCTGTCGTTGCCATTGGCTGAAAAAGATTTTTAAATGCTCATGAGGGTAGAGGTATTTCTCAACAAACTGTTTTATAAAATACTCAGTATTTTGCTAAATAGTCACAAGCCGTGCAGGTCAAGTTAATTAGTTCAAGCTTTAAAATTCCAACTTTAATAATCCTTGCATTTGATTGCATTCAGGACTTATCACATTGTCGAATATGGTGTAGGTGGAATGGTTTCACAGGTATGGAGTGAAAGTATCATCTCAAAGCACTTTGCAGGATTTACTGTGTAGTGCAGTGATTTATAGGTGAACTCAGCAGCCAATTTGTCAGGATAAAGAGCCATGAATTGAATGACCATTGCAATTTTTTTTTATTTTGCAGCCTGTCTTTTCAAATAGTGCAATTTGATCCTTCCGACATCCACTTTAACTGGCAGGCAGGGCCTCAGTTTAACGTCTCATCCAAAAGAGAGCACCTCCAACAATGCAGTACACCCCAACACTGCACTGGAGTGTCAGTCTAGACTGAGTTCAAAGACCCGAATGGGGCTTGAAATATACCACAATATGAAAAGCAATTTTTATTGTTCAATAAAAAATGTACATATCAAGTATAACAAGAAAAATAGGGTTACTTACTGTATTCACCAGCAGAGGGAGTAGAATTGCTCATGATAAATGGACCGTTAGTAACACAAGCAGACAGAAGCTCGTCAGACCCCCGCTACAGAAAGAAAATTTACATTAGGATCTGATAAAATAAATTAAATTCACAAAATATTCCCCATGTCAGTAATTCAACAGTGAACATGCAATTCAGGCAACACGAAAACATGCATTCAGGCAAATCAGTTAACTTTAATAATAAAGATATTAAGACATGAAAGGTGCTATATATAATCAATTTGTTGTTGTAGTTAGCAACTTTGGGATTGGAGCTCACAAAATTATGATGAAATCCTAAATACTTCTTTCCTAGTTTATAATCACCCCTTCCACAGTTGCCACAAAGCTTTCAATTAAAATTCCATGCTTTACATGAATTCTCAGTTGCAAAATTAGAAGCCAAAATGCTATGTGTGTGAGTGGGGGGTATGGGGGTGAAAACAGAAAGGAAAGCTCATGAGCAGCAATGCTTTTAGAAGGGAATTTCAAGACTATAGAAAGTCTGGTTTTGTAGGGATGACCTCCAGCACCAAATCCACATAAAACTGCACAAGCTTACATACTTTTGACAACCGATTAAATTTTTGCTGGTGCACATTACCCTCAACAGTTAGGGAAATGTACTGTACAAGCCAATTGCAGCTGAATGATCCTTTTTCAATTGTACACCCAATACCTTTACCTAAAAGGCCACAGGAGACAAAATATCTTATAACATTACAACATTGTCCCAACATATCTATTATTTAAGATGAACCCTGTAAAGAACCCCAGTGCATTGTTAACATCACATCAAGCAAACCAGTCTCAAATAAAAGCAACCCTCCATTTTAGGAATGGTTAATAGTTACAGGAACCATTTTGAATCAAAGACAAAACAATGCTTTGGTAACACCCTTGCTTCTACTTTAGCTCCCCTTGTCACTCCCCGTTATTGCCAAAAATGTAGGCACGCAGTCGGGTTTCAACATTACAATTCTCAACTGCATCTCAGAAAGATTGAGATGGGCGGGGGCTTATGTGAAAGAATGCTCAAAAGTACTTTATAATTTAGCATAGTTCAGCTAAGATTGATCAAATCTTTCACTGCGTGCATATACACAAGCCATTTCTGTTAGGCTCCATCACTATTAACGTACTATATCCCTCCTCCAAACTACTCTAATTAAACTTCGGACAATGTTCCATTACTCAGCTTTTGGGACAGATAAGCAATGGCACTGGAACATGTTTTAAATTAATGATCTGTGCCCACAGAAACACAATACAGGCCCTGATGCATGTGAAATAAGATCCACATTCTTTGCTTCTTCTTACATTTCACTGCTTAGGTGAAAATGGATAGTGTCCATTCATCATAGATGCAATGAAATTACAGAAGCTAGAAAAAAAATCTCTCCAGAGGCAAGTAGACCAGAGAACAGTACAAGATGCACAATAGTGTAAGGACTTCTCCTGCACACTTCCAGAGTGTAAACACAGCTATTACTGAAGGTTTCCCCCATCAGAAATGGCATCACAAGAAGGGACGAGAAATTGTCATTTTAAAAAATTAACACTCAAGTTTTCAAGGGCATTATGTGCTTAAAATTGCTACACAACAGTTCTGACGGAAGGTCATTGACCTGAAATGTTAACTCATTTCCCTCCATGAATGCCTGCTGCGTGTTCCCAGCAACTTCAGAGTTATACCAGATTTCAAGCATCTGCAGTACTTTGCCTTTTTTTAAAAAAAAGCAATGTATGATACTGCTTTAGACAAGAGGCCAGTGTACAGTTGATACATGCCCTTTCTGATAGATTAAACAGCAATCATAAAATGCCAAGAGTCCTTCAAACCATTAAACCCAGGTGTGCTACTTCACTAATTTCTTTCCGATTCCTGGACACGTCATAAACCAAAATGCCCAAAATGGTAATTGGTACAAAGGAGCATTCACCATAATTTATAATAATACTTGCATTTGATATAGTGCCTTTTCACATCTTCCGAGACATTTCAAAACACTTCAAATAATCTAAAGTGAATTGACTATATTTCATGGGAGAAATTTCAAGAATTTAACATTTACAACAAAATCAAGCAGCTAAGGATTCTCCCAGCATTCAGGGAGCTTAAAATAGAGCAAATAATGGGAGGGCACAGGTTTGCCATTCTGGGGTGCAGGGAGGATGTTAATTGCCTGAAATAGATTTGTTCCTTACTGTGCTCTTCAAACATTTGTTTAAAAAATTGACTAATCTGCTAAGTGACTATCTTGTGATTCTTGGAAGAATTGGAATTCATGTACTCAACAAAATAATGTCCAGCATTTCTGGAGTTGGTAACCATGCTGCTTGATAGTATAAAGCTCTTATTTGTAGCTCCATTCCTTGAAGGCTGTTCACTACGCAAATAACTAAATTCAAATGGTTCTCCTCTAAGGTTACATCTGTGCCCTTCTGTACACAATTTCATAGGCATATTAAACATTAGGATTCAGTTCATCGATGCCCGTTAGATTCTTGAATACTTCAAAGATTTTCCTTGAGCTTTATTTTAGTCTCCATAGACTCTCTGCACAACAGTTATCAATGTAGTTGCACATGTTATAACATATTAATAAGCAACACCGATGATGGAAGATTTTTTTAAATAAGTGGTGATCATACAATGGTTTGAGAGGTCTTGTATAATTATAGAACTTCAACATACAATCCACCCATTTTCCCCAACCCTCCATTGTGCTGCCTGTTCAGCTTGTACTAACTGAAAATTGAGCTGCTGTCACATCACACAGCATCAAAAGGCAACAAACAATTCAATGCAACTTCTGACATTCTGTGAAACACGAGAGCTTTGTTTTAGTTCCAAGAGTCAGTATCAGGTTCACAACTACAGTTTCCATTGCATTTTGTTAAATATCAGGTTTTAATAGGCGTTTTATTAATAGTCTCATGTTGAGTGAATGAGGGACATCCTAGTCTAGGTTTGATATTTCAAATAATAATAATCCTTATAATAATCCCTGCATTTGATATAGCGCTTTTCACGTCGGGAAGACATCACAAAGCACTTCACAGAAAATACTGTAAAGTGAATTGACTGTATATTTGTGGGCAAACGCGGCAGCCAATTGAGCACAGCAATGTCCCACAAACAGTCGTAGATTGAAAATGACCAATTTATTATTGTTTTTTTTGGAGGGATTATTATTAGGCTCTGTGTGGAGTAAGGAAACTTGTCCAAGGTTTCGCCCTCTGCCGGGAATTGAACTCAGGTCTCTCGCTTGCAAAGCGAGTGCTCTAACCACTGAGCTACAGGACTTCACCACCAAATGTATCTAAACAAAATTTTATGCAAACTTCTGATTCACAAAAAACACCACGCTAAATGACTACACAATGTAAATCCTCTGCATCGATTCACTGTCATTAGCCTTCATAATTTGTCATTCAAATACTATAAAATGACAAAATATCTCAATTTCACATAATTTGGAAGTTTCCACACTGAAGTAATGCAAAACTGATAGACAATTATTTTTCTAAGTTAGGGCTCTTCCTGTCATTTGAAAAAAACCTTTACAATTCTCTCACCAAAGTAGTTGTTGGAAAAAATAAGTTAAGTGGCTTCTACAAATTTACTGTGGCCCCCAACACAATAGATTCTGGTAGCAGAAACATTTTCATTCACAGGGAATGTAATCAAATAGTTATAACATTGCATTCATATTCTGCATCCTGAAGTGCTAAAATTGAGGTAATAATTCAAATGGGTTAGATCGCTCTGCAATGTACAAGGTGAAAGTGGGGATCAGTACATTCCGCATTCAAAGTCAATTAAATCCCCTACCAGAGATAAGATGCTAAAATTCTTAATGCTAAAACTCAAATCCAAGCAAATTAAATGTTCTCCATCCTAGAGCAAAATCTTAAGAAATCTGAAATGAAACAAACATTGCAGTAGGCACACAAAGCACAAGTACGAAGTACAGAGTTTTAACTGAGCCATTAGAAAATCTTCCTTAGACCACTGCCCAAAATAGTAGCACTGGACTTGTACCCACCATAGGACAGCTTTAGATTGGGGCAGACCACGTAAAAACATTACTCCTAATAGCAAGGGCAAAGGTGCCCTCACACAATCAGACATAAAATGGGCTGCCTCCAAACCAACAATAAACTTGGATCCGTGGAAATTAAAAGTTCTCTGAGGCATTACACCCCATCCTTCTAAAGGGGAATTCCAAAAGATTAATCACAGATGGGCACCAGACGGCACCATTCTGAAAGCATTGTGGTGAGCGTTCTATTAAACTGGCAGTTAGCTTTGCTTATGTTTGAGGGCTTGCTGTTCTGGAATGTTACCTTACTAGCTCAACGGGATCTTGCTGTCCCATACATGGAGGAAGTTAGTTGGTGCTTGCTTCTCTACAGCTTGTGATAAATTAACCTTTTTTTTTTAAAAAAAGAAAACACAACACACTAAAGGGCAAGTTAAATACTCAAAATGCTCCCACAGCAAAAATATAACAAATTCTACTGAAAGGCATTTTTGTAGATTGTTATTCCGAATATTCAGAAAGTGCCAGTTAGCAGACACATAGCTCATACTGCTCAGCAACAGATTCCATCAACATTGGCCCAACTTCCAAAATGGCTAGCAGAGAGATCAGATATATTTTTATATATACACAACTGATACAAATTTCCATCTCATTTGCATCCAACAGTGTCGTGGAACAAACCTCCAAAAAGTTAACCTGCATCTGAAAATAGGGGTTAAATTATTCTGCCATGGCTGGTTAATAAGTATTTAAAAGGTACAGAAAATTAGAGTTCTGAACATTACTATACAGTTATCTACCTATAAAGAAACTGAGAAAACTTGAATCAATAACACTATTGCAGGTACAGTACTGAACTTCAACTGAAGTTTGACCCCTCAAGTCAGATAAAAAATTCCAAGACATATCATATTAGGATTAATTACCCATTCCCAAATACAATATCTCAAATCCTTCCTGCCCTTGAGGCAGTACTGTGTGCAATCTGCAAGCAATCTTAAAATTCAACTAAAAGCTAATAATCTCACTTTTAAAAGCCTAACAACTGAACATCATAACATCTGCAAAAGCCCCATTGAAAGTTTAGCTTGCAAGGTGAGTAATGGAAGGTGTGAAGTGAACATATAATAGGCTGTTATCAAAGTTATAGGAAACAAAGCAATGAGAGATGGCCTACCTTCGTACCAACTGTTATATCTTGGACAATGCTGTAGAAGAGAAAAGAGAAGGAATAAGGTTAGAGAGCAAGTCCATTACATACCAGGTCAGTCACAAAGAAAAAAACTAAAACAGTTTTAGTGGTGTAGATTCAGACAAAGGACAGGCTTCACCTATCAAGCTCTTAAGTGTTAAGTGCTGTGTCAGGGGTCATTTTCCACCAAAAAAATATGTTTAATAGCCCAGTTCGGCTACAACTACAATGTCTGTTTCACCATCTTAGATCACCCGCATCATTGCAATAAGAAGGGACATGTGCTCTTGAGCAAAAAAAAATGCGTGGCACAAATATGTTCTCATACTTTCCTGAAGACCAGAGACTGGAAAACAAGTTATGGGACATTAAGACAGTTATAAAAATGTCTAAACTGGCTAATGTCAACTGGGTTAGCATTTGAGATACTACAACATTTTTTGCACTCATCGGCGAGAAGAGAAAACTTGTGCACCAAAAACTACTGCTGAAATGCGAAGATGTGGACAGACAACAGAAATGTGCTGTGGTCAAATAGTCAAAAGTCTAGCCTTGCTCTGAAAATGTAGTCCAATCAAGACACCAGAAATAAAGCCAGAGGTCTGAAAGGGACAAAGAATGAAAAATAACCGTAGCCAAAGTTCCTTGCACTCACCTTCAGGATGCTCAAAATTCACATAATATTCAGTTGTTGGGATATGGAATGCTCTGCCAAGTAAAATGGTAGAGGCAGACTGCATTGTGGGCTTTCAAGAGAACTACATATTTGGTATATTTGAAGAATAGAGGGTTGAACAAGTATTGGGACAGAGAAGGGCATTGAGACTGAAGAGTCTCTAAGAGTCTAAGAGTCAGGGCAGACTGAATAGGCAGAATGCCCTCCTATTCTGTAAACTTCTATGATTCCAATATGGAAAAGGCGCCACTTTGTGCAACATGCAAGTGGACAGCTTTCTGAGGCACAGTTACCATGAGAATTTGGAACCTCATCACAGGCTGAGCAAAACTCCATAACTGAGGTTGACTCACCTCCCATTCCCCCCAGTAGATCAAAGGCAAACATTATAGAGCACAAATGGTCAAATAATCTGTGACCACTGTGTCGAGACATGTACATAAAGAATGTCTACTAGGGCAGCATAATGAAAAGCTCTGAGTGAAAAAGCCATTGCTGCCCAAGTAGAGATTGGGGGGGTGGGGTGGGGGAGAGATTAGTAGACCAGCTCCATAATCCCTAACTCACTAACAAATTTGTGAGTTCCAGTTGTTGATTTCCTGCCAAAGGAAATGGTTACAACAAATATCCCATCCTCAGAATCCACTCAGCAGTTTCAAAACTGCTGCTCTACAAGGCAACACATTACTTCCAAGAGACAAGCTAGGAAAATCAAATTCCTAAACAGTCTAGAAATCCTGTTGGACCCTTAGAACCTGCTGCACAATAAATTTAAAAAGGTGAGTTTTTTTGCATCTTCATTGCAGTGGTTCATGTTTTAAAAATGTATTTATGCAGACAGCCAAAAATACAAATTTTGATATTAAACTGCCTTTTTAAAATATGTTCACTGAGTCTCGAATATTAACTTTCATCCTTGCCAATCCATATTCTGCCTGTTCAACAGGAAACTAATCATTCATTTCATCTGGTCTCAATTCCTTATTAAAGTAGTCAAAAACGTCACCCAAGAGTATAATTTAACTTTATTTATGCTGATCATATCACTTTTTGCTACAAGTCTTAAAAGGTCACAGAATTAAAATCTAAATTCTGCGTAGAAATTTAGAAAGCAAGATCCGAGTTATTATTGCCAGAAGTTCACTGGACTGAAATCAGAATAGCAGTAAGAGTTTCATATTCTAGTGCATTCATAGGACCAAAGAGGCAATAGATTAATGCAGAAAATTAAACTGTCTTACAAAGTCTAAAATGCCTCACTGAATCCAAGCACATATACCAACAGGCACTAGCTGGTTTAGGAATCTGAAGCTACCACCAATAGAAACAAGATAAGAACATGTTCAACTATTTGCGCCAGGACAAACGTGCAATCAATAAGCCATTGCAGCCTGTAACCAGCTGTTGTGAAGAGCACCAAGTTAGGAAGGATAGTTTACCGTAACTAGTCACTTCCCAAGTTTTTTTGATAATGCAAACTAACCATCTCACTGGTTAGCCTGGGGCATTAATGACAGAGAATAAATAATAAATCCTTGCATTTGAGGTACCATGTTATCACTCCTCAAAATGTCTCAAAGGACTTGACATGTTTTAAAGTGTAGTAAATATTTGTAGCCAAACTTGTAGGTCCAAAAGCCACAGCTGTTTGAACCTGTAAGGAGCCGTGCTAAAATACATTGTTGAATCTCAGGAACTAGTGAAGCAAAAATATTGTTTAAAAAGCCTTATTCCAAAGCAACAGCCAATTGAACTTAAATCCTACAAAACGTGAGCCATTTACATCTGGAACTCAGCAAATGCATGTTCTTCTCTTGGCAAGTTTTGTGGTTCATTTCAACACAACCACTTTGCACAATTCAGAACAGGCACACACTATGTAGTAGCCAACTGAAGAGAAACTTTTGCTGCAATCCTGGGCACTCAAAACTGGAAATCCAACGAAATACACACAGCAAATAGTCGTTTTACTAATATTCTCATTCGATTAAAGCAGACAAGCTACAGGTTTATTATACCTTCAACACAAATCAGGTCTGCTGCAAGCTGAAAAACAATAGCCCACACATTCAAGTGCCAGAAAAAGTACAACTGTACAAATCAGACTCCAAGCCATCCAGCAGACTTAACTGGTGATGAAACATCAATGTGAAATTAAAACTTGCCATCAAATAACCATTTTGGCTGCATAAAGCATAACGATGCAAGTAATATATTGAATACACATGATCTGGGGAGGACTTGTGAACTCTATTAGACATGAGTTGGGGGAAGTCTAGATTCCCCCCATACCCTCCTTTGCGACATGTGACCGTAGCCTTTGTTTCCTAAAATACCATACAAGTGATGATACAGCTGGATATTACTGGGCTTGAGTAAACTTTCCTCCTTCAGTAAGCTCACAATTAATCAGACGCAAACTCCATTTACTTTGGAGCTTTTTAAGTGCTAAGTTCTCTTTCACTTCCTGCCCGCTATCAAAGTTTACACTTTACTTCCACAATGCACGAGATCGTTGGGAGATAAAACAGCCGAGAACCGATTCGAGGAGCAGCTCTAACTTACAAAACTTTGGCACGGGTTAAGGGGGGGGGGGGGGAGAAGCGCTCGCTAATTTACCTGTAGTTTGAGCGGAATAGAAAGGTTCCTTTGCAGCTGAGGGGGGGGGGGGGGGGGGAGAGAGAGAGAGAATGTGGAGCAAGAGAGCGCGCAGGCAGCTGTTTAGCTTAAAGATCGCCCTCCGCTTGCAACCTAAAACTACGCAGCGAGAGCCAAGCTGCACCCACCCACTATTTAGCAGTGCGGAAGCGACTGAACAAACCAAACCGCCTCCATCCAGTCACCGACTAACTGTGCGCTGCGGAACCTAACCCGGGGGTGGGGGGGGGGGAAGAGAGAGAGAAGGTGCGTTAACCTGGGGGGGGGGGGGGGGAGGAGAGAGAGAGAGAGAGGTGTGTTTGCGTGAGGCTCCCGTTCTCCCCGAAAACCACAGACTCGCAGCCCCCGGGGGGGAAGCGAGTCGGTCAATCGCCGAGGCTGAGCTCAAACTCGGACTCACTCGACCCCCTCACTTTCCCCCGAGTGGTGCAGGGGGCTGTGTCTTTTTTGGGTGGTGGTGGTGGGGGGAGAGGGGGGGAGAGAGAGAGAGACACTCCACTGCTTGCATCTGGCCCTTGAGGGTATAAAAGTTTCAAGACTTCGGATGCTGCAGTAGCAGCGGCGGCGCCGCGGGCGGGAGGGGGGGGCGTGTGGGGGGTGAAGTGAGGTGAGAGAAGGAGGAAGGAAGGGAAAAAAAACGGATGGGGTGGGTGGTGGTGGGGGGGGGGGGAGAGAAAAAGTTTTGAAGTCAAGTCTCAGTCGCACGCTCCCTCCCTCACTCCGGCCCCGCCGCCATTTTGTGTGGCTCGAGACGGGGAGGGAGAGAGGAAAGAGCCTCGAGTGGGCCCCTGGCGCCCGGCCTCGGGAACCCCGTCCGGCAGCGCGTCCTGGCGGGAAGCACTGGAAAGCGCCGAGGGAAAGGGGCTGCATACGTGGGAAGGCCTCTCTCTCTCTCTCTCTCCTGCCCGACCCCCGCTTCTCCTCATCCGTTACCCCCCCTCCCACCCGCCCCGGGCTTCGCGCCTAACTTTCCGCGCTCAGCCTGAGGGTGGGGGGGGGGGGGGGAGAACTTTCTTTCGACGCGGAGGCTGTTTGCCACACGTGGCTTGTTTTTTCTTTCTCTCCCTCTCCTCTCTTTCTCTCAGCGGCTAATCTGAAAAATCGTCGGCTGGGCTCGTTAGTGTGTGTACACACGCGCGCGCGCGCGCTACGTGGGAGTCGAGCCGGGGCTTTGGCATTCCTTACCCGTCCATTGCAGACCAGAGAGCGCAGAGAGAAGATCCGCGGCTGCCCGAACCGCCCCCGACACATATACCCGCACAAAATGGCGCCGCGTCAATCAGGCGCCCCGCTGGTCACGCGGCCGCCGCCCCGATTGGCCCGCGAGCGGGCCGCGCCTGTCAATCACCGCCCGCTCCCATTGGGCGGCGTCGGCCCGCCCCTGCCTGCCGCGGCCGGAAGTGGCGCGGCCGACACCTGTCAATCCCGGGCAGGCTCGGCGCCGCGATTGGAGCGCAGCGCGTAGGCTCCACCCTCCCGAGTGGGGGGAGGCAGGAACGACCCGTCCGTCACGTGAGACGCGCACTGTGATTGGACAGCTCGGGGAGAGGGGGGCGGGGCCCGGGGGCACACGGGCGCCTCCGTTCGACGCTGCGGCGGTATCGTGCGCCGCCATTTTGAAAGATGTCGTCGTCGGAGCAGCGGAGCGGGTGATGGGCAGTTCGCTGCTGACGTTTACCTCAACGGAACACAGACGCACTCGCGCGCACATCGCAGCCGTTAAGAGTCATCGGCCTCGTACGTGATGCGGCTCCTCAGCGTTGTCGTCGAGTTTCACAGGATGTAACTGTGAAAGTGTAGTGACTGTGGGCACTGTTTACTCGGGAGTGGGTAGGAACCGGGTTGTTAGTCGATGGCGGATGGGCTTTTTTTGGGGGGGAGGGGGAGGGTTACAATTCCTTCAAAATAATAATACTAATGGTAGTAAATTGGTCACTTCCATCCCCGACTTGTCCGTGTTGAGGCCGCCGCGCGCAGTCGGCCGCCCCACCTTTGACCCGCAGAACATGCAGTCCGATTCGCTTTACAGCGCCCAGAACGATAAACCGGCAAAACTAACAATCCCGGGGGGTTTCGGTCACGTCTCCCGAGACGTCTCGCAAGCGCTCCGTTACGACACGCCGTGGAATCAACCGACTGCGCGGTTCGCGGGCGAAACCCCGGCGGCCGTTTGCGCACAGCGGCTGTCCCAAACAAGCGGTCGTCGATTGAAATGACCAAATTATGATTGTTTTTCTGAGGTTTATTGTCCCTTAGTATGCGTTCGCCCACAAATATACAGTCAATTCACTTTACAATGTGTTCTGTGAAGCGCTTTGGGACGTCCTCCTGACGTGAAAAGCGCTATATCAAATGCAAGGATTATTATTATTATTATTATTCTGTGAAGCGCTTGGAGGCCTCTCAACGGCGTGATCAGGCGCTATATCAAATGCAAGGATTACTATTATTATGAACTATGTTTTGGGAGGCAAACGTAGCAGACCGTTTGCACACAACATTGTTTATCTTGGACTACAGTGGAGTCCTACTGTAGCCCAGGGGTTAGAGCGCCCACCTTGCAAGCCAGAGGACCTGGGTTCGATTCTCCGGCATGGCAAGATGTTGAGCAAATTTCCTTATTCCACACCTCAAGGATTATTATATTATTATCCCCACAAAAAACCATGAAGTGAACAACTGACTTTTTTTAAAAAATACGGGGCAAGTTTGTTGGCCAGGTCACTGGGAGAAACTGCCTTCTCTTTTCAAACAGCGCCACTAACGTCCACCCGAACAGACCGGATGTAGCCTCAGTTTAACGTTTCGTCCAAAGGACAGAGCCTCTGACGAAACACCGCGCCCCCAGCACCGCAATGGGGTAACGGCCTAGACTTAATAACTCGCAGACCTGACATTGGTCTTAAACCCACAACTTTCTGCCTCACAAGAGGGAGCTACCAGCTGAGCCAGGCTGACATGCATGCAAGGATTAATATTGTAAAATAAACACTTTATTACAAAAAAAAACTGTCAAACAGTACAAGAATATGTCTCATTAATCTTGCACTCAACATAAAGCCGCTGAGGTACAAAAGAGTATGATGAAAGGGCGAGGAGATTAAAAAATCTGAAAGAATCTAATAAACTGGTGAAACAGAATTGATGGTTTGATTGGCCTCGTTTCCTGCTGTCCTATGGTCTTCCAGTTTCACCCCCACATTGCATTTGCATTCCTCTTTCTGTTCAAGTTTAAAGCTATTTTATGTATTTTAACTAATGCCCTCACAAAAGTCTCAGATTTGCCATCTCGCTTCTGGCAAAATACCAAATGAAGGCCAGAAGCACTTTAAGTCAATTCTTTTACTGTGGGTTGTTCCAATGATAAACATTGCATTTTATATAACATCCCATCAAGGATTGTTTTATGTTCAAACATCTCACAGCACTTTACAGAGTTTTCTTTAAAGTCTACTGACTGTATGCAATATCCAACTCTTCAAGATGTTATCCTATGTGAAGGGCACTACGTAAATGCAAGCTGTTGTATCCAAATAAACAAATGCCTTATTCCCTTACTTCTCTTGGTCTCCATCTTCAAAAGCACCTGAAAAACTTAGCTCTTGAACTGTACTGAGGTCCACCTCCTAGGTCTCTCCCGTTCAGCGTCCATCAGTCTCTGTAAAGCGCTCTATTATGCTTCTCAACACGAGAAGTGCCAATATAAATGCAAATTATTGCTGCACACTGTACCTGTATAGTATAAGCACTTAGCTCACTGCTGGTTTACAGTTGTCCTAAAATTGCGTACAAACCTTGGGTGCGTGCATGCAACTTTTTTCTTGCCATCCTTGCAACCTGAATTTATTTTACATTAGCTGGAAGTCAGCACTGCCTCACCCATGCACCAAATTCTGTGCGTTTCCTTCTACAGAATTCATTTTTTGTTTCCAGGGACTTGCCCGGTAACATTTTGAAACAACTACAAAAATTAAAATCTGAGTGACGGCTTTCAGATCAGGAGGACGTCCGAAAGCGCTTCACAAGAATGACCAGGAGTCCAAGCCGAAGGAGAATGACCACCAAAAACATGGCTGAAAAAAATGACAACAACTTGCATTTGTATACCGCCCGTCGCGCAGAGTAGTGTCCCAGAGTGCTTGATAGGCAGACTTTAAAATCAGAGAGTCTTAAGACAGACTTTGAAATCGGAGAGAGAGATAATCGATACTGTAAATGTTCTATGCTTCCATAAAACTCTGTACTATTTGACATTTTGTTTTGATCAGCCAGATGTCTGACATGTGGAAATCCATCATCCAAACCAAACAGAGTTCCTTGCATCCTTAACGGATAGGGTGTTCCTAGCTGGACAAGCAGCGGGAAAGCTTGCGAGGCAGTGATAATAATAATAATAATAATAATAATAATCCTTGCATTTGATATAGCGCTTTTCACGTCGGGAGGACGTCCCAAAGCGCTTCACAGAACACACTGTAAAGTGAATTGACTGTATATTTGTGGGCGAACGCGGCAGCCAATTGCGCACAGCAATGTCCCACAAACAGTCGTAGATTGAAAATGACCAATTTATTATTATTTTGTTTTTTTGGAGGGATTATTATTAGGCGTGTGGAATAAGGAAACTTGCCCTAGGTTTCGCCCTCTGCCTGGAATTGAACTCAGGTCTCTCACTTGCAAAGCGAGTGCTCTAACCACTGAGCTACAGGACTCCACAACCATGTGCACTTACCGGCCAGCTGCAATGAATCGCGGGAAACATAGTCTTGAACCATTGCCTGATGCGCAAAAGAACTTCCATTTCCTGCGATTCAATGCTTGCTGGTATCAACGGAAAGCAACGCAGTTTCAGCTGGTTAGATTCCAGCACCCCAACGGTCCTGAATAACATTGAATACCTGATTACAATTAGTCTAGGAGAGTATGTAAAGAACTCAACATCATTGACATCACAAAGAGGGGATTTCTGATTAGGAGAGGGACTTTATAACAAGAGACAACTAGTACAGTACAAGCACTTCTTTTTATAACTTTTCAGGATTAAGAAGCAATTCAGTAAAACTCGCTGTTTTCGGCTTCAAAGCAATGAAAACTAGCATTGTAATGGGAAGTATTGCTTGAAGCAATGAGTTAGGGATGTTGTAACATGTGGGTTTCGGGAGTTGGCCTGTGCTGTTTTGCCACGGTTGCTCCTTGTGTTTGTTATGGGCGTCAGCCTGGCTCAGTTGGCACTCTCGCCTCTGATTCAGAAGGTTGCGGGTTCAAGCCCCAAGTAGGAACTTTGAGACTCAGGGTCCAGGCATGAGGACGCTATATAAGTGCAAGTTGTTGTTGAAAGTCCAATATAATGGGAGTGTTGCATTGTCTGAACTGCCGTCCTTCGGATGTGACACGTTCTGCCCGCGTGTTCTGGTGAACGTTAAAGATCCCATTGCGCTACTTGCAAAGAGAAGGGTTTTTTTCCTGGCTTCCCGGCCTATCTATTAAAATTGTCACACAGTGAGTGACTATTTGTGGGACACTGTCCTTGTGAGCAATAATTACGGTATTGTGAGGTGCTTTGCGGTGTTTCAACGTGATAAGCTGCTATTATAATGCAAATTCTTTCCTTTCCCCCTCATTGTGGTCTACCAGTTTCTTTGTGAGGAGTGAAATGAGCTGATTCCTTGGTAAGGTTCAAAAGATAGTCCAAACAAAAATGGGTTTTCCACAATGTACTGTGGAATGTGGAACTGGTTCTGTTAGCATGTGAACAGCCACCAACAACAGAATTTTATGGGTTTGTTCAATGGGATGTCAACAAGATAATTAAAAAGAGGATCATACCTTCAATTTAGAGGAACTGTAGGCGAACGAGTTAGGTACATGATGGGTGTTGCTGTTTGGGTTTAGTTGACTGACGACTGACTGGAATGTAGCCTAACCGCTCCCCTCCTCCACCGCACTCTTGCTCCAAGCCTCACTGACCTCAGCTTCTCTCTCTCCCCCGCAAGTTTGCATAATCTGAAATGTTAAGACAATAGTGCAAAAACTAAGGCCAAGCGAAATTTCGGGATTCAGGACTCAAAATCCTGCCTGCTAGTGCAGAGGCACTGAGGCCAAATTGTAACTGCTTACTCCCCAATAATGGATAATTATTTGAGGAGGACAAGTTTGTAGGGCTCTGGGGGGAGAGCGGAGGAGTGTGATTGATTTGGAAGCTCTTTTCAAAGAACTGGCATAGACACGAAGGGTCCAATGGCCTCCTTCCATCATGTATGATTCCT